TAATATAATATTATAAATACGTTTTTAAACATAGTACGAAAACTAAGTAACCTTTTTATTATATATAAGCTCCTAAATAGCTTTAAGTAGCTAAATAAATATATTAAACTTAAATAAGCCTTTTATAATACCTATAATACTCTTTTATTTTAATATAAAAAACTCTTAGTAATTTTAAAATCTCTTAGGCTTATATTTATAAATAAGGACTTATATTTATTTTAAACTTAAAATAAAAGGGTCCTAATTTTTTTTTATGTAAATAATATTTTTATATTATTTTATAAAGATTATGTTTATAAAGCTAGTTAAATAACCGAGGGGCTTAAAAAAAAGTATAAATTAAAAGACTAAGGACTAGTTTTGTAATATTTAAGTATTAAAATTATTTAAAATTAACCGAACTAAAAAATCTATTTTATTTATAATTAATATATTAAAAGAGTTATTAAAAAGTTCGATTTTATTAATATAAAAGTATTAGTAATATTACTACTAATTATATTAATTAAAAAGAACTTAGGAGTTGTATTACTAACTAAAACTAAGTCGTTTTAAAAAAAAATAGGGTTAATCCTATATATAATAATAATAATATAACCTAACGTCGCTTTTATATATACTTTACTATTTCGGTTCCTTACGAACTTATTTCGTTAATACTATTTTATTATAAATTAAGTTATATAATACTTTTTTTATATTTATTATTTTACTATATATTTTAATATTTTAGGGGGTAAATAAATATTAATAATTATAAGCGACGCTTTATTTATAAATAACGAAGAGACCTAAAAATCCTTTTAAAAATATATAATCTCTTTTTTTAATAAACTTATTTAATAAAAAGTTATAAAGTAAAATACGGTAATAATTTTAATAATTAAGGCCGAACTACTTAACTTAGAATATATTATTAAAGAGATACTCGTTTTAAAATACTTTTTTAATAATATATTATTTAAACTCGGGGACGTTTAAAAAGTTTATTATAATAATTATTAAATAATAAGGCTTATAATAAAAGAAAGGGAATATATTTTAACTCGCTTTTACTATATTAATATTTAAAATATATAGTTATATTAAGAGTACTTAAAAAGCTTATTTAAAATAGTTTATATATTAATAAATAAAATATTAGTTAACGATCTTATAAAGAGCCTTTTATAAACGAAGTTCGAATATTTTATATTATTTTTAAATATAAAGAATATATAAGGAATAATTATATAAAACAAGGGAATACTAAAGAGGTAATAAAACGCCCCGGGGGGCCCGGGTTTTTAATTTATAAATATAGTTTATAGTTAAGGAATATAAAGTTATTCTAACGATCCCGTTAAGTTACTATAAAAAAATTACTTATTTAAAAAAGTAAGTATATATTTATTTAAAAAGGACTTTAATATAAGTATTATATTTATAAAGATATAAATATTAATAAGAATATTAATTCTGATCCGGATACCGTTAGCTTTTATATATAAAGTAATTAATACTTTCTTTTTTTTAATAAGCTCTTTTAACTAAGCTTTAAATATAAAAAGAGTACTTATAAACGTCTTTTTTATTAAAACCTCGTTTATATAAGCTACTTCGTCCTTAACTTTATTTAATAGCCCGTTAGCCGCTAGGGCCTTACGTAATATTATTATTATATAAATTAAATCCTAAAAATAATTAATAATTAATTTAAAATAACGAGTATATATAAAAACTAATTTTTTATAAAATCTTTATTAAATTCTCTTTCTTTACTTACTTAAAGTATAAGAACTTCTTACTTAGCTTATATATACGCCCTTAAAAAAGAGCGTAGCTAGACTTCTTACTAGCTTAATAACGTATATATTTATTATTAATACTTAAGCTTAAAAAATATTACCCCTTTATTTATTTACTAAGGGCGCTTTTAATATAGCCTAAGTATTTAATATTAAATAATAATAATACCCGCTTAAAAAGTCTTTTAGTACTAAAAGTATTAAAAGGGTACGTTATTAAAAATTAAAATTATAAATAATAATATCGAAAAAAAGATATTATATTTATAAAAAATTATTTTATATTTATTAAGAAGGAGCGAGGGAGGGGGCTCTAAACTACCCTTATTTCTATTTACTTCTTAAGTAGTTTTTTTTTTAATTAAAAAGCCGTTATTTATAAATAAGAATATTAATAAGTTTAAAAATAAAATTATAATATAATATTATTATTTAATTAACCGGAGTTTAATATAAAAAAAGTATTATTTATTTATAAATAGATCGTTATTATAAATAGGGGAGCCGCTACTCTCCTTTAAAATTATTTTAAAGTACTTAGTTTCGCGTACTATAATAATATAAGCGCGCTTTTTAGCCTTAATATATTTAAGTATTTATTTTAAATAATATTATTAATTACGATTTTTATTTTTATTAATAAGTATGCGTATAAATACGGGTATAAAAACGAAAAGTAAAAATATATACGTACGGTTAGTATATAAATATAGGTTAAAAAAAAAAAAAAAGTTAAAGTAATAAGTAATTATAAAGAATTTATTTATTTACTTACCTTAGATTATAAACTAATTATTTAGTTAATAAGAGGCCGCCCCTCGGTATTACGACTTAATATATATAATTAACTTAGAAACTAACCCGCTAGCTGCGGTAGCTATAGTATATTATATATATAAATAAAATAAGAACACGGCTATTCCTCGCGGAATAGAAGAATTATAAAATAAGTTATATATTAATAAAATAAGAATTATTTTAAATTAAATTAATTAAAGATAACCTAAAGAATAAAGGATATATTTAAAAACGAGACTTATATATAGTATAGACTTAAACTAGGCTTAAAGATAAACTTCTTATAGCTTTTTTAATAATTAATTTAATATTAGATCTTACGATTAGTTTTAACTATTTTTACTAAGAAACCTTTCTAATAAGACTATAATTAATTATTAAAGCCTTATTTATTTTATAATTTATAAAAATAATTTAAAAAAAGCTATTTATAATTATAATACTATTTATTTAATTATCGTAGCCTTAACTTTTGTTAATATACTTATTATAATTAGCTAGCCGTAATATTAACCTTAGAAAGACTTTAGGTAGTTTATATTTAGTATAAATCTACGTCCTTTAATAAGATATATTACTACTTAAGCTAGGTCTATATCTTTTAATAAGCTAACTAATCCCCCCTTTTAACCCTTTTAAAATTATAATTAATAAATTAAGTTTATTACTTCTTACTCCTATATTAATAATATTAATATATTAAAATACTTAAAATACTTTACTTATTTTATACTTAATTACCCTATTTTATTTTAAATTAAAATATTTTTAAAAATATTTTAAATATTAATAATTTATTTTTAATAAAATATATTTAATTTATAAAATAAGGCTTCGAAGCTTATAAATAAAATAATTTTTTTAATTTATTATAAAATCTACTTATTAATTATAAAAAGTCGATCTAATTAATTAAAATTAAGGTTTTTTAATAAAAGTTATTATTGTTTTAATTAATTATAAATAAAATAATAAGGTTAGTACTTTAATATAAACTATACTTAAAAATAAAATTTTAGTATTTAAATATTATTTATAATAAGTAATTAGTTATAGAAATTAGGGATTAATAATATTATCATTTTTAAATACGAGTTTAAATATTATTATTTTTAATTTTAATAGTTAGAAGATTATTATTTATTAAAGTTAATAAAAAGCTAGAGTTTATAGTTTTTAAGTTATTATTATAAATAAGTAGAAGAGAGTAATTTATGGGGTTTAAAGACTATAGGGTTGCTTAGATACCTTTTAAGGGCGGGGCACTACTTACTTTTGACCTTGGAGAGAAGGACCCGCTCAACCTCACGGAGATTCGTCTGGTATACAATTTTTTTTTGAATAGCCTGGGAAAACATGAGTGAGCTTGAGCCCGTAGAAATACATAGATGCGACCGTAATTGATGGATAAGGTGAGGTGATAATTGATGTGAAGTGGGTGACGAATGTGGACGTGGGGAAATTTTCGCAGACGTGAGGCGCCTACTTGTGTGGCATTGTGGCTTTCGCGGCTCACGTGCGCTCGACAGCCGACATTCTCCCGAAGACCGCCACGCCGCTAACACCACCCAACTCAACGAATGCACGAAATCGTGATGACCTCAAGTTAGTCTCGAAAATCAAGCATGATTTGACTTACCGATGCTCATTCTGTCCAATTAGAGTGTCCAAGTTGGATGCACGACCATACTCTTCGACGAACATGGCGTAGTGGACTCTAATGTGGACAATGGGCCTGATTGCATAGCCGAGCCAATTGAGATGCTCGTCTGGGTCGACTTTCTACGTCGCCTTGCCTCTACCTTTCTTCGGTGGAAGCTGGGGCTCCTTCGGCTCCGGTGTGGACCCTTTCTCTCGTCGTAGATCCTTGCGCATGATCTCACGGAATGCCGGGTCATCATTCTGATGTTGTAGGATCCTTGTCTCGAGAGTCTGCTCGAAACCTGACTTATTAGATGCAACTGAATTTGTAGACTGTGTACGAGTCTGACTTTCCGATCTAGTCTGACTTCTTGACCGGCTCTGAGCTCTGGTGGCGACTAGACGGGATGATGCCCAGACATAGAGTTGTTGAAACATCGAGCGCGCTGTAGTCGAGTTGTCGTATGTATCGTCTGGAGAGATGAAGTCGTCAGGCATATGACGAGGAGGCATCAAGGTGCTGTTGCTTCGAGCCACGGTAGCTGCAGTAGCCACGATGTACTCAGTTATAGTGCGACCTTGAAGTTCTTTATGAAGGATAGCTGTATTCCAGAACTTGGTCTGGATGTGCTCCTCCTTGAGCCAGTAGTTGAGCAGCCTAGGCACAATAACAGACCATAGTGCATGCTCCGACAAGCTATAGCTCCCGAGATAATTGACTGGCGATGGAATGCGGTTCCAGCCTGAGGGCTACTTCCACGATCGTATCAGTCAACCATAGTCTTTCACAGCGGCCTTAGTCATAATGCCGCCCATGAGCAAATCATGAAAGAGATTTGTAAAACTATTGTCCTCTGAGTAGGCAGCATCTGGGACTCGGTTCATGACCGGATTGAGAGTAGGAGAGATATCTTCGAGCGTTGATGGCTTCGTTATACCCCACTGGGACATATAGGCTTGTTTTTCGGTGGTAGACAATGTCTCGGCGTGGTGACGCATCTCTCGGTCCTGGTAGTGGTAGCGGCCATTGCGGATATCATTAAAGTCAATCATGCCCGTCGGTTTGATGTCCTTGATGGCAGTGACTGATGTTTTCTTACCGACGTAGCAAAATCGACAAAACTTGGCTGCGGTGGGGCCCAAGACTCCCGAGTTGGTGTTTTGCTGTGGCATGTCTCTAAGATGAGTGAGAGTGAAGACGGATAAGTAGATCTCCTTATTATCAATGATAACGCTGGTGCACTTGTCTAAGGGCATGATGACATTGAGTGCGGTGCCGACGACCTCCTCAAACATTGACCCATGGGGGCTCAAAAAGATAAGAAAGGCGTTGGCTCTGCAGTTTCAATCATTGGAGTTGAGGGCAGCAGGAGTCATATAGAAACCAACTAAGGCGTATTGAGAGTTTCGGAACAACCTAAAGCTATCAATGAATGTCATGACAGGGTAAGACATGACCTTCTTACTGCCGTCCTTTGTAGTGTCTCACTTCTCTGTGAAGATCTTTCGGCTATAGTACTCGAGCTCAAGCTCAGCTCGGATGGGATGTGTATGGCACAGGGGGTCAACTTCGAGATTATCAAGAATGATGCGGCGAACAAGGAAGTCGTTATGCTGATCCTTCATCTTGGGCCGCTTCGGTGTATACTTCTGATGAGGTGCCTTAAGTTTACCGCACTGGGTCTCTGGAGGCATGTAGCTCGGGTCATCTATTGCTTTACCGTGAAAGAGATCGCGCGTGATAGGGCAAAAGTCGATAGTAAACTTTTGAGGGATGTAGTGAATGTTATCTCGATCTGGAGGACAATGCTACTACGCGGGGCTGCCTTGTTGCGGAGGCTGCGGGATTTAAAGTCCTTGCCGACTCCATAGACTCTTCCGACATGGTAAAATGAGTAGTCGGATGCGTTGGAATTTGCGCATCGACAATCAGCCTGGCAACAGACGAAGTAGACGAAGTTAGAGGGGAAGATGGGGTCCCCTAGAGTGAGGTCCTCGTTGATGGAGTGTACATAGATGCCGGAAGTCGTCCGGATCGACCCAGACCAAGTATGAGAGTGATAGAGTTCCGAAGGCGAGTCAACGAAGTAGGCCATGTCGAAGTGCATCTTCTTAGCGAGATCTGATACGAGGATCGACGTGAACAAGCTGACCGGATTAAAGAAGAACAGCTTGGCAGTCAAGACTTCATTCTGCTTCGCCTTCTCCTTCTGCGTCTCATTCATGGTCGGAAGCTTCTCTATCTTCAAAAGCACGTCCATAACGCGCATATCGATGAGTGGAAGTTGGCGTGTGACCGAAGCCTTGGTAGTGGCGAGTGCCTTTGGGAGATTCTTAAGGGGCACGCGGCTATCTCCTGGTGACTTAGGAAGCCGTAGAATCTCTCGGATGATTGTCCAGTTGGCATTACTCATGCCACGAATGTGGGTCATTAGACCGAGAGCTATGTCAAAGGCACTCAGGGGCTGGTTAACCCTGTGATGCTTCAAGAAGATGGATGTATCTTGGGACGCAAAGTCGGATGCCCTTCTCGATCCAGGCATCGGAGGCGGAGTATAAAGCCTGATGATGGTGTCGCAGGAGAGTCAGATATCGATGTAGCGCTGCCTGATGTTAGCGCCGACTGGGGTTCTTGAGATTGCTCGGCGTCATGGGCAAGGTCGACAGGTTGATGTGTGTCGAAGATACCAATGGCATCATCTTGTGAGTCGTCGTCCACATTATCGAAGTAACGCTCAGCATACTCTGCCGCGGCCTTGGATTCCTTCTCATCGACTATCTCTTCGACCGCATCGATCTCTCCAATGTCAGGCTCATCCTCCTCCTCGTCTTCATTGTCTGCATCTGCACCCGTGTCTTCTTCGCCCCCTTCTTCCTCGGCGGTAATCGAAGCGTCGTCGGCATCCATCATTTGAACATCCTCTGTCTCTAAACCGCTCTGTAAGGCGCCTGAATCGCCATATTCGTCGTAATAATCGAGAGATTGAGACTGAGACTGGACGTCTTGGGAGCCTGAGGATGTGTCGCGAGATAAGTGGAGGGCAGGTATGTGCGATGTACCCTTCGATTTGAAGGACTTCGCGGCCCCCGGGGCAAAGTTAGGCTTTTTTGGTCCCATAGTGAGACATCAAATTGCCTGTTTTGCCTTGCGGTGGTGTTGTGTTGCTGCGATAAGGATGCTTAGTCTGTGATGGGAAGTCAGTCTATATTTACCTACCGCGGACTAGATGCGATAAACTTGAGATTGGCTTTGACGATTTCTTTGATGTGGCCGTCTGAGAAAGAATTTTCCTTTGAGTTATATGCCATGTCTCTCTGTGTGTGTTTGTTGAGGGGTGCTTGCGTAAGGTGGGTGGAAGGTGGAAGTTGAAAGGTGGGAGGTTGAAATGGTGAAAGGAAGGCTCAACCTCCACCTTCGAGAATAAACAACGGAATATTACGACTTCAGATTTTTCTGAGACCCTCATTATTCTAGATCACGTGTGGTCAGGCAGTCTTGATTTCTATTTTTCAAATTCTTCCCTATCCTTATATACATAAAAACACTCCCCTTCCTACCTACCCACCGCGAAGAAACTCTTCCTTCTTAACCATCGCGAGTTTTCTCTCTACCTCTACCTCTTCAAGTGTCTTCTGCTGCTGCTAAAGTACAATCACCTTCTATGCCTTCTACACTATCACACAGCATCAAGAGCACTCGACTCAATCATCACATCGCCATGTCTAGCCGCCGTACCCGCGACCCTCCCGTCGATGAAGACGAGGAGTAGGAGATTCCTGCCCCCAACCCTGCTCGACGTCGTACTCCGGTTAGTTCTACAACATTAAGTCACAATTAACAAGGTAGCTAATTTCTGCTTTCATATATTTAGAGAAAGACTCCCGTTACTACTCCTACTCCCAAGGGAGCCTCCTCTGGCGCACGAGTTCTCCCCCGCAGTAACACCGATGACAGCCTCGCTGGACATGCGGACTCGCTCGGCGTGAATGATGAGACCTAGCCTAGTCTTGCTGGCAATGCTCATCTCCTCACTCCCAGTGTGACCTTGGAGTCCAGCAATCCTAGCCTGTTCTACGAGCCTACTCGTGCCAACTTGATCCGCCTCCGCGAGAATCCCGCTGTCGCCATTGCTTGGGATAGACATACCGGCCGCATGAAGATTGCTGGCTCTCAAGATGATGTCGAGAACGCCGTCTTCGATGGTCCCTATTAAGGCTCCTGGCAAGGAGTTGCCCGCCGATGCTACTACCGAGGAGACCTAGGCTGTGAATGCCTACTACTGCGAGATGCTGTTTGTCTGGTGCACCGATGTGTTCGTCGGCTACTATGCCAAGATGGCCTCTCCTGATACTCCGATAGACTCCTTACGTCACATGAGCATCCGGAACTATCTCACCGATCGGTTCAAGACTGCCAAGTCTCATATGTTCTGGCGCCATGCTTACGGATGTTTTCTTTGCTTTCTTGACATCGTTAATACATCTTACTGACATTGATGTACATAGCCCTGGGTCGTTGAGGTTGCGACCTCTCATCCTGAGATCGTGGGCTGGGTCGTTGATTACAGCGATGAGAACAAGGCGAAGCTCACCGAGTTATTGCTCTCTCCCCTCGATGCTACCACCTTTAAGGCAATCTTCTTCCATGTTAAGGATATGGTTGACTTCAACCGTACCAAGGCTTCCCACCCTCCTGGATACTTCTTCATTGAGACTATCTACTTGAGCTTGGTGCCCATGCTCATCAAGCCTTGGTCTCTTGAGGATGAGCTCAACCCTGCTAACGAAGATGGTATTCGTCCTGCTAAGCTTGGAGTTAAGGCTTGGAAGCAAGACCACAACCAGCGCAATAACATCAAGTCCAGCTTCGTCGGTTGGGGCTATATGGAGGAGTTCAAGTACGTGACTATCAAGTCATTCGCGCTCATCTCCCCTAAGATGTCCAAGGCCACCGGCAAGGCCGCGTCTGTCGATGTGTCCGGTGCCCGCTCTACTCTGGTCATGGTATGTTTGAACACTTGATGCAACTCAGCCCACCATACATTGCTAACTAACATTCATCCAGAACCTCCCCATGCCCCCTCCTCCTAGTGCCGACGATAACCCCTTCGGTTACGATGGTATGACTGACGATGGCTCTCCGTCGACTACATTAAACCGCCGCATCTTTGAGATGCGCAACATCCGCCACGCTCTCGATGATAACAGCCAGACCGAGGGCAGCGTCTCTCCCTTCGAGCAGGCTCGTTGCCGTCATCGTGGCCACATGTAGTAGCCGCCGTCACACCGATTTCTTTCTTCATGTTGACATACCCGCCTCGCTGCCTCCTATGTGGAGGGCCAGGCACAACATTGCATTCTTCGCTTACCTCTATCAAGAGAGGTCACGGCAATAGCCTCTCTGGGCACATATTGTTTCCTTTCTTTCATTCAGTTATTGATGGTCAGGATGTATGCATTAACTATTAGGAGCCGAACCTCCTAATGCATATATCTGACTTGCCGCGCTAGGTTTTGTTCGGTTTTACTAGCACTTACTACATTCTAATTAATACAGAAGAGGTTTCCTTGCATTCGTGAAGGGATTACTTAGACGTGATTAGCTCTTATGAAATGTTAAAGAGTAGATGTATCTTTGTATAAATGATATCCATTATGCTAGAAGATGGACTCTTCGTATCTTGATATCAGGAGAGAATTCATTGTGTTGACTGGTAAAGTTTCTCTTAGTATTTAGAGAGCATAACTTTGGTACCGCGGGTTTACGCGCCGCGTCGTCTGTGTACCGTGTCTTGTGCGTTCACTACGTTAAACTTGTACGTCAGATTTGTTTGACTTCTTCCACATCCATCCACATCTAAACACACCCAAACATACGCCAAGTGACAGAACTCTATTGTGTGAGCCAAATATCTTACTTTCCAGAATGGACATTATTGACGTTATGTGTACAAGCAGACGTCTACTAATCAGATACTCAGACAGTTTCAATCCCACTATGGCAGAATCAGGCCCCCCGCGACCCCTTACCCCGCCGTCGCCCACATCGAGTGAGATCCTCATGGAGGAAATGGCACTCCAAGGCATAGGAACTGGAAGCGTTGGAATCAGTGCCACCGAGGCTCGACGCATCGCCGCTGCTCGCCTGGCTGCTGCTGCTGCTGCTGCTCCTACCAAGGCCGACGATACCACATCTGATGCGGCGCCCACAGGGTTAGACGAGCCCAGCCAAGCGACCGTTGAAGACGTTGAGGATGACGATGATGATGAAGAAGTGGATATCTTAAGCGCGGTACAGCTACAAGAGCATCGCTAGGAGCATGCCCAGCGTCAGGCCAAGTTGGAGGAGGAAGCAGAAGAACACCATGCCGCATTGCTGGCCATGTTGGAGGAGCAGGGTCACGCAGAGTGACGATGCCGGGCTTTTTAATGAGCACAATGGTCAAGCAGAGCCAGGCAATAATTATAAGCACAATAGAGGTTTCAATTGAGTTGTCGGATATGCGTCTACATACGATGTGCGGAGGAGTGACTTGCTATGGCTGGCCTGGCATAATCCGAGGATTTCGGGACCTGCGTGGCACAAAGGTGGCACTTTGGCACCAGGCCAGCATTTCCGTGGCACTATGCAAGTATGCGGGCACCTCTGGTATCGAGGGCACTCTGGGACCGTGGCACCGTTGGCACCCCTGTGAGACCTGGCTGGCACGATTCTGCAAGGTACCTAGGTGCCCTGGGGTGCTGGAGGAAATGGAAGACGGGAGAAAGGCGGGCCTCTGCAGTTTGACATGTACCCAGGTATGTATCTACCTACCTACCTAGGCAACAGGCGACCCTCAACTTACCTAAGGTATTCCATGGAAGGTTCTCTTACTGCTTTTACTATCATTGTTACCCTTGGTGTCAACGCTCTTGGTGTTGTTTCTCTTGGTGCTATTTCTGTGGTTGATGTGGTCTACTCTCTGTGCAGTCTTTGATGGACAAATTCAAAGAAGTCTAATTCATCTGCCAAAGGTGTTTTTGGATCAGCTAAGGTCTTCGGGCGATTTGTGAAGAAGAAAGATAAGGCGATGAACTTAAGGTAAGTAAGTACCTACCTTGGATAATCGTCCGCCGAAGGTCTAGGTAAAGGTAACTTGGCTGAAATGGAACATTCGGGTGAAGGCATACCTTACCTTCCGCACGGTGCCCTTTGCTTTGCCAGGAGCTATCATGCACTTTGAGAGGCAGCAAACGCTCCTAAAGCAAAGTAAATTGTGCATATCAATTGGTTTGACTTTCAATCACAGCCAGGTGGAAAAGAAGAAAAGAAAGGGAACTCACCACAAGGAAGAAAGCAAGAGGCAGCTAAGGTATTCATTTGTTCTATTTGCTGCCTTTGCTGATTCCCGGGCGATTCTCGATATTGTTACACAGTGTCGTTTACACAGTAGGCTTGAGACATCTTACTGTATCAATAGACTATCAAGGTATTTGTTGTCCTCCCTATCCTCCCCTCGCCATCATTCCACCAACACTTCTCACTTTCAACTTCACTTCCAATCGTCACGCAGCTTTTCTATCAGGCGAGTCCATCTCCGGTCACGTGATCTTTCTCCGAAACTAACACAGGCAGGTACAATAGTCGCACCGGCCACCACCTAGATCCCAACATGTCGCGCCCCATCCCCGAGCTGGATTTTGAGGCGGAATTTCAGAAGCTGGTGACTCTCATGAGAGCATGCTTTGACCAAGAGGACCCAGAACTCAAGCCCACCTACCGGGACTGCAGAAGTTGGGCAAAATCTTTCACATCGAACGTCAGACGTAGCATGGCCTCGCGCGACAACAACGGCTGGCTCGGCGACAATGGGGAAGGGGACCTCACCGAGCGATTCGAGCTTGTGCAGCAAATTCGGGACACAATCCTCAACCACGAGGACATCAGAGAGGAGAAGGATAAGATCGAACTCCTCCAGACGAAAGAGGTTTGGGCGCACCTCATGGTCCTGAGCTTACCGCGTCTCCGAGCCTTCTTGGCGGAGGTGCAGACCAACGACGACCTGGTCTACACTCTCAATCTTGCATTCCCCGCGATGAATTCCCTCATCTTGCTATGTGAGTATTATCTTTCTATATTTTCTTTCTTTACTATTGTCAGATTTCTGTCATCTTCATTGTCCAAGTTGGCAGACGCTTCTTTGATGCGGATACCAACAACCTTCTTTTTTTCATTCTATACTTATTACAGGCTAACATCTTCATCATCAGTCCGGGGCCCGGCGGCAGAATGGGTCAAGACAGGTACAATCTCGCGAAGCAATGCTGATCGAATTGCGGTATGTCACCTGTTTGTAATGAACCTGGACTCGACTAACTCATTTGTGCTAGACGGCCCAGAGAGATCTCGGTGTTTGCGCATTTACCGGCCACCTGCGCGGTGAAAAGTGCCACATACTGCCGTTCTGGACCCTAAATCGGCCTCGCTGCTCCAATGCACTTGACGCTGCACGCGCAGTGTTCGGAAAGGAACGAATCAAAATGCTTCGCAAGAAGCTCGTCAATCCCGAGACCAATATCGTCGACACGTCACGGAACATGATCACGTTGCACCCCATGCTGCACAAGTTTTGGGACCAGGGACTTTTTGGTTTAGAGCCCGTCACTCTCTTGTACGAAGAGGACAAAAAGGAAGAACCCGCCATTGCGGGTCCCTCGACTCCCTCAAAGGTCGCTAGCGAGAGACCTGACGAGGAGAGCGGAGCGCCGGGTTCCTCAAGGTCTACCAGATCTGGTACCAAGAGACTCAGCGATAGTTCCCAGATCATGCCTTCCAAGAAGTCCAAGAGAATCAGCGAGGGCAAGGGCAAGGGCAAGGAGAGGGAGGTGGAGCTGCCGCAGGGGATCAAGCCTACCAAGGAAGACGGCGAGCGCGCAAGGAAGGCGATCGGTATTCGAATTCGACTCCACTGGCTACGAAAACTGATGGGCTTAACGTCGGACAATCTTCCAAAGAACCTGGCTGAGTTATGGCGGACTTTGAGCCCGTGGGACGACGACTACGTTGTTCACGACAAGGATGCCCGACCAGTCGACGACGGCCAGATCGTCGACATTTTTGACACAGCAGACGCCAAAGCCCCCGATTTCGATATCCTGCGATTGCAATTTGACGTTTTTCGTATGCAAGCGTTATCGGGCAGAGCTGACCCGATCATCTATGCCCCCGATTGGTACTACGATGATGATGGGGAACTTATCGCGGAGCCCGTGCCAGGAAAACAAGAAGCTATCCGGGAACATGAGGCGAGAGAGGCGCGGGAGATTCTAGAGGCTCAGAGGGCTAGGCAGGCGTAGAAAGCCGGCATCCCTTCTTCTGATCCACAAGGCTCCGATCCATCTGCCGTCGCTTCTTCATCTCATCCTCATGACACCCATTCACCCACAGCTGCATCTCATCAACAGCTCCCCAGCGCCATAGGAGGATCCGACGTTAAGGCACCTCCTCGGCGAAGGCGCTCGCTCGTCTCAGGTATGAAGACCGTGGGCCGCGCCTTTGGTCTTCAATTGGCATTGAACCAACAGATCCCCGACATCGAAGAAGAATCCAACGTTGCGCCGCCTCTTCAGAGGAGTTCCTCGATCATGTCAGGTGTGAAGACTGCGGGCCGGGTTGTTACTCGTTCATTGAGCAATGCCAAGAACCAGACCAAGAACCTTGTACGAAATCCAAGTTCGGCTTTGCGCGGCAAGAAGGAAGGAAAGCGGCACCGCCAGACTCCCGAGCAAGTGTCGGGCACCCGAACTTCCGCCAGAGTCCATCCCAACGAACCGGCGACGGGTCGCGAAACCCCTTTCAGCGACATAGAGAACGTTGCCACAAGCATCGATGAGCGCTCGCGCCAGCAATCTTACCAGCGAGCACACAAACCTCTCTCCGAAGTGCAGGAGCGTGTACCAAGTGCTTCAGCCCAGAAGTCGCAGGGTCATGAACGTTCCAAGAGTGGCGGTTCAGGCCAAGCTTCGGACAAGACCAAGAAGCGTTTTTCTGCAAGCTATCTCGTCAAGCGTCGGTCTGAGGCCGAATTCAAGAAGCGCTCTTCTGCCGATCAGATTGAGAAGCGCCGGTCCGTGGGCAATCTCACTGAGCTCCTGTCTGAAGCTCCCGAGAACGCACCAGGTGGTTCAGGATGGCGATTCTCGGTGGCTTTACGTCCTCGAGAGGTTTGAGGAGGGAAACTTGGGATTGATCAACGGAACTGAATGAAGTGCGATGATGAAGGGATAGACTGATCAATGTATTATTAAGCTGCTTGCAAGGTTGGAGGGAAGTTTTCGAGTTATTTGTCTTCATTATTCTAATTACCCTCTCCTTTGACCTTCGTGACTCTCTGGCTATTGACAACAGCTCATGCGAACCTCTAACGACCACAGTCTTGCTTCGTGGCCTTGAAGATCGTAAATTGCCAGGAAATATTTATTCAGCCATCAAGTAGCTAACTTTGAGATGATGCTTCCGCGTACACAGTCGAGAGACCGTGTCGATGAACGACAGATCTATCGTCTGCTCAGCGGCGTCTCAAACTCCACCATCGTCTTTCTTCACCACAAGCATCCTCCGAAATCTCTCCCGCAAGAGTCACGATGCCCTCTTCCTTGCCAAATCCAGACACAGCAGCCTCCTCTTCGCAAGGGGTAACCCCCAACTTGGCCGCCTCACTCGCCGTAAACGTGCCATACACATCGACCTCATCGTACTCCCCAAGACCTTCAACAGGAAACAAGCCATTCACTCCCCAAAACAGAGCAAACGAAATCATAAATCCGATAAAAAACGCAACATAATACAGCTCGTACACCGCGTCCGGCGCACCGCCCACACCCCCCGCACTCACAATCAACCCGCCCACCGTCGGCGCCCAACCCGCAACCCAGCACGGAATCACCCTCCAATTGACACCGTGGCGGTACCAGTAATCGGACCCCTCCGGGTTGAACAGGTGCGTCAGCCGGACACGCCGACGGCGCAGCACGAAGTAGTCGCAGACCATGACGCCCATGATGGGCGCGAGGAAGACGGCAAACGAGTTGAGGACGGCGACGAAGGTGGCGGCCTGGTTGATGAGCTGCCAGGGCTGGATGACCCAGGCGGCGGCAAAGGTGAGGAGGGCGCCGCGGCGGATGTCGAGGTAGCGCGGGAAGAGGCCGGCGAGGTCGATGCCGCCCGCCACGGCGTTGGAGCAGACGTTTTCGAACATGGAGGTGAAGGCGAAGGCGAGGGCGAGGAATAAGACTGCGGCGCGGGAGCCGGGGGAGCCTTGGCCGTCTATAGATGGATGGCATGTCAGTGGGCATCCAGGAAACTCGGAGAGAAAGGAGAGTGGCAATGGAGCAGAAGAAGACTCACGATCCATCATGACCATCAACAAATCGGGCGGGTTCCAGTAAATCTGCCCGTAAATTTTCTGACACGCCGCGGTAGTTACCAGCCCGCCCAGGCACACAAGCACACCAGTAACCCAATAGACTGACACCGTACCGACGATATAATCTCTTTTATTCTTCGCGTACCGCGAAAAGTCGCTACTATTCGTCATGCCCGCCGCTTTCCCGCCGATAGCCTGGTTAATCCCCGCCATCATCAGCCACGAGGCGCTCCACCGGGACGAAGAGGGTACTTTCTCGCCCTGGTAGAAGACGGGACCGACCCCTCGCGCGACGGCTACGGACCAGGCGAGGAGGGCGACCATTGCGGCGCCACAGGCGACGGAGGAGACGAAGAAAGGTTTCTTGAAGCGCTCGGGACGGATGAAGAGAAAGGGAATGGAGACAAACCAGAAGACGGTGAAGCCTAGGAGTTCGTAGGTTGTTGTTGGGGTGGTTTCGCTGAGGGTGTTGGGGATCTTTGCGAAGGAGGGCCAGATGGCGGTTAGGCAGACGCTGTGAGAGGTGTATGGATTAGTCTTTGAGACTTCGTTCAAGGAGGAGATGCTAATCATACGTTACTAGTTTACCTCCATTCCAACCTATTCAAACCCGGATCAGTCATCTTGTCGTATGCAGAAGGGGGAAGTCGTCTTGGAAAGACTGGAGATACACTTACACTGGAGAGCGGTCCAGGTGAAGTTGAGCAGAATGCGCTGCAGCAGCGGTATGAAGCTCGCTCGGAAGCCCCATGTGTATCTATTCTGGACGGTGAAGCCAATGTGCCAGGTCAGACCGCACCAAGCCACGAGGATGGCGAAGAAGCAGCAGAGGGCACGCGAGACGACGATGACGGCCATGGCCTGGCCTACGGAGAGTCCCTGGGTAAGAAACGTGTTGGGAGTCTGCCATGTTGCGACGTTGAGAGACGATCTGTTGGAAAGCGGAAGGGTTCAGCATTGAGGCATAGGTTGACTTGGTTCTCTCAAAACTCCCTGGGGTCTTTCGCCATTTTGGTGGTATGATGGGAGTCAAACTTACAAAGACCAGGAGCCGAAAAAGTTGAACCAGCCCCAGGTGCGGCGGGAGGGCGGCAGGGGGATGAGGTCGCGGTTCGACCAGGCGCTGATTTCTTCGTGGCGGGACTCGTCCGACTTGAGGGTCAGGGCTTCTTTGATCCTGCGCGCCGTCTTGTTTGCCATGATCACCGCGATTGATGAAAAGCTGCAAAATTTTCGCGTTTGTGTGAACGTTTGCACCGTCCGGAAATGTTTCGTTTCGAGCCCGTGGAAGGGCGTGTACTAACGGATATATAGGACCATCTTATCTCGAGATCCTTGCAGCGGTCACGTTTTCTCTCATGGTTCTCGAATTTAGAGGAGAGCGAAGCATAGGTTGTCGGAAGATATGCGCTGCTAATCGCGACCTTGTCTGACTTGCATGCCGGGCAATGTTCGGGGGCAGTTTTCCGGGGCAAGTCTCCGTTTGCCCCCATTCTCTTGCCCTCATTCCCTTGCCCTCTTTATTTCTGAAAAGAGGACATACGTCGGCGACTTTCCGAGCGTCGGACGACGTGCCCACGAGCTTGTCAGCTCCCAAAGCGGCCTTGATGTAACCCACTCCTCCCGGCCAACCTGGTCCTCGATGCCGATGATAAGGATGCGGAGCAGTGGGGCGTTCCCTGCTGGTGACATGCCGGGTGATAAGAAATGGTGGTCGATCGCCTCGGACTCACTCGTCTGCCAGTGTTCCAATCCAATGACAGTGTTGAACTAAAAGGTGGAAATGTTCAGTTGGGTAAGTAGCTTCCCGTACCTATTAGTCTCTCACATCGATACCTGATAGGATTGACGTCGTAAGGTGAGGTTGGTGAAGTGGGGTTCACTATCTCGGAATCCGGGGTTGAAATATCGGCCTCTACCCCGATGCCGGCACCGCGTCGGAGAAGGTGCGATACTTCAGTTGTATGTCTTGCATCGCACCTGCTATCATTATCGCAAACGCCCTCACTGCAGGGCCTTGTACCACCCTCCCTATAGACAGTTCTCTTTGCATGCAATGCAAATTATCCGAACCTCCAAGCATCAGGGAAAAAAGTCCAACATCACCAGCTCATCCACAAAAATGACAGTCCCTACCTTGAGAATAGGCGTCGACGTCGGCGGGTGAGTAACGGACCTGTTACCTCGCCTCACCTCACCTCTGCATTGACAAACTTCACATCACCAACCCCAAACTCCCACCTCCCAACCATCAACTCACTTCTAACAAACAAAAACAGAACAAACACAGATGGCGTCATCCTCGATCCAACCTCCTCCTCCTCCTCTCCCCTCGGCATCCTCGCCACCCAAAAGACCCCAACAACACCCAACCCAAGCACCGGCATCACAACCGCAATCTCGCACATGTTCTCAACCTCCAACATCCCCCCCTCCCGCATCGCAAGCGTCACAATCGGCACAACGCACTTCATTAACGCCGTGATAGAACAAGACGCGACCCGCCTTGCCCCCGTCGCCGTCATCCGCCTCTGCGGTCCCTTCTCCGCAACCATCCCTGCCGGCGTCGACTGGCCTCCCGCATTGCGCAATATCATCTGCGCCCACCGCTCTCTCGTAGACGGCGGGTTGGAGATTGACGGAGATTTGATTGCGGAGCTAGATGAAGATGCCGTGCGGCGCGAGGTGGAGGTTATTCGCGCCAAGGGAATCAGAAGTATCGTCGTTGTGGGGGTTTTCAGTCCCATTGACGTCGTGTATAGACAGGAAGAGAGGGCGGCGGAGATTATTCGTGATGTTTATCCCGGAGCTGACGTGGTGATGTCCAAGGACGTGGCGAATATCGGGTTTCTTGAGCGCGAGAACGCGGCTATTCTCAATGCTTCCATTCTTCCCTTCGCTAGACGAACCATTCGGTCCTTCCAGGATGCCGTTACGCAGCTAGGCCTCACCTGCCCCGTCTTCGTGACGCAGAATGACGGGACGATCCTCCCGGCTGCTGCGGCGGCGCGGTTGCCCATCAGGACATTCTCCAGCGGACCGACAAATAGCATGCGCGGTGCGGCGTTCCTCACGAGGAACTTGGAAGAAGAGAAGGAGGGGGCGGGCCCGATGATGGTTGTCGATATCGGCGGGACAACGACGGACGTGGGATTATTACTGGCCAACGGGTTCCCCAGACAGGCGGCGGCGTACAGCGAGATCGCGGGGGTACGGACGAACTTTTCGTACCCAGATGTTAAGAGCATCGGGCTCGGAGGCGGGTCTATCGTCAAGAAAGACGAGCGTACCGGCGAGATAACAATTGGGCCGCAGAGCGTAGGATATCAAATCCAAACAAAGTCTCTGGTTTTCGGCGGCGATGTCGCCACGGCTACGGATTATACTGTACTCGCAGATCCAGACACCATTGATATCGGAGACCGGTCTCTCGTCGAAGGTATAAGCGGCCTCGCTGATGACGTCCCGGCGTTCAAGGCTAAGGTGAAGGCGATGCTGCAGCGGATCGTGGACACGATGAAGACTTCGCCCAAGGATATACCCGTCGTTCTTGTCGGCGGAGGCGCGGTGATTGCGCCGGATGAGTTGAAGGGGGCCAGTAGGGTTGTCAAGCCTGCGTGGTCTGGGGTAGCAAATGCAATTGGGGCTGCGACGGCGAGGGTTAGTGGTGTTGTTGACTCGATTGAGAGCACTGAGATAAAGAGCGTGTCCGAGGTTGTGGAGGCTCTGTCGCGGAGGGCTGTTGATCGGGCTGTCGAGAATGGGGCTTTGCGGGAGAGTGTGACTATTGCTGAGGTGGAAAGTTTTCCGTTGCAGGTATGTTTCTTTGACATGGCGAGTATGATGATGAAAGCTGACTGGATGCCTGTTTGGCAGTATATTGCAAACAAGTCACGAATGATCACCAAAGCCGTAGGAGATTTCGACTTTTCCAGACCAGCATCCGTGGACACAACCATGATCCCAAACGACATCGAGAACTACGACGAAGAAATGCCTAGACCACCGGCACCGCCTCGAAGCGAGGAAATCCCATCACTGCAAACCTTGGTCTACACAAAAGACTACATTGAAGGCTACAAGCCAAAGGTTCTCAACCGGCAATGGCACCTCTCTGAAACAGACCTCGACTGGATCACGACGGGCTGCTACATCCTCGGCACAGGAGGCGGCGGCTCACCTTACCAACACATGCTCCGCCTCCGCGAAATGATGCGCGCAGGCGCCACAGTCAAAATTATTTCTCCGCACGACCTCAAGGACGATGATATTGTAGCCTGCGGCGGCGGGAAAGGGTCGCCGCAGGTATCCATTGAGAAGCCGTACGGTGATGAGTAAGTCTCCCTCCTCCACAAGATGGCCCTCTGGAGAAGCAATATCTAGATTCTGATTCTTATGTTTTGTAGAATCATGGAATCACAGAGAGAACTCTACGCATACCTCAAGACAAATCCAACGGCCGTCATATCTCTCGAGATCGGAGGTGGCAACGGCCTGCAGGGCCTCATCCTCGGCGCCAGTACGAATCTCGATATTCCGACAATCGACGGTGACTGGATGGGTCGCGCGTATCCCATCTCTCACCAGACCACGCCAGTAGTCTTTGAGAAGAAGGCGACGATGATTCCGTCATGTATATCAGACGGGAACGGCAGAATCATGGTACACACCCTTGCCCGTCTGTTGCTGGCTACAAGACACGTACGAAGATGAACATTCCTTTGCTGACCTGCGGATGAGGAAACAATAGCTCATGACAAAAGCCCGCACAGAACTCAACGCAGAACGGGCCTTCCGCGCCGCACTCTCGCAGATGGGCTCCCACGTAGGCTGCGCAAAGGGACCTGTCAGCGGTCGCGATACGAAGTCCTGGGTTGTTGAGAATACCGTCTCGCTGTCCTGGCGGATTGGTCGCGCCGTAGCGATGGCGCGGTGTACCAATGCCATCGACACAGTCGCCGAGGCCGTTGTGGACGTGGTCGGCGGGCAGGAGTCGGCGAGAGTGCTGTTTAGGGGCAAGATTGTAGGGGTCGAGAGAGTTACAAGGATGGGGCATGCTTATGGAGAGGTTACTATCGAGGGGTATACTGACGGGAGTAGTGGTGGTGATGGAGCGGTTGAGAAGTTTGTTATACCATTCAAGAATGAGAATATTCTTGCGAAAAAGGTTAATGCCGGTGGGCAGGAAGATGTGAGTCCCGACAACTCCCCATCCCTATCACGAGAGGAAAGTGAAGAGTACGAAACTGACACATCTCGCACCCAAAACAGATCCTCGCAATCGTCCCAGATCTAGTCTGCGTCCTCGACGCGCAGAACGGCGAGGCCCTCGGCACACAAGAGTACCGCTACGGCCTCCTTGTGGTGGTTCTCGGCATCACGGCGTCGGACAAGTGGACGTCGACGGCGCGGGGCATCGAAATTGGCGGGCCCAAGGGGTTCGGAATGGATGGGTTGGAATATGTGCCTCTCGGGACTTTTACGAAGCCTCGGAGCGTCATTGACGAGTTTGGTGGCTAGTCATGACGGACCAGGGCTAAAGGGTTCTTGAGGCTTCGAATGATCAACTATCATGCTTGTACGATGCGGCTTGTGAAGATGGGTTGATTATGGGTCGAGCTATGTCCTCCTCATCTCCGGTTTCGGGTGGATGTGAGGTTAATTCTTGGATAAACGTAAGTCGAGAGGTTGGGGCATGTATACTGCCGGAAGCCATGTTTATAATATTACTCCTTGGCATCTAGACATAACCGCTTAGCAGTAGGATGAATAGACTTCTAGACAAAGCCTCAAGGATCATCAATGCTTACATGGCTTGCCGTCCTTGAGAACGAATTGAGCACATTAACCGCACATCCAACCTGTAAATCTCCCAGAATCTGCGGGAGCCCGCACGTGTGGCTTCATGATGGAGGAAAGAATCGACAGGGGTTCGACCGTCGAACCGTTGTATTTCGTGCCGGGGTGTGATAACGCAACGCGAACTGGGGGCCAGAGGAAGATGGTGTGTTGGGGTCGTCTCCAAGTCGTCGGAACTTCCAGCGCCGCACCGTCAAAGTTACCGAAACTCTACCAGGTTGGCGGAGGAGAGGAAGAGGGGTTAATTGAGAGCCAGTGAACCGCGCCGCCGTTGTCGGTTCCTGCGGGAGCAGCCGGAAATCGAGGGTGTCGAGTCCTGACTCCTGATTGTCTGGCTCTCTGAGAGAGTATTCCAGAGAAGAGACAATCACGCAATCGAAAGAGAAAATGTCGGTTAAAGAGGAGAGCAAGGGTATGACAGCGGAGCAGGAAAAGTTTGTTTTGGAGAACGGTAACACTGAGCAGACACAATGTGTCCCGGTTCCAAGCGGTCGGCAGTCAAAGGCCCGGAGGTTTTGGGGGCGCGGGGTCCCACGTTGTCGTCCATGTTGATGGAAGTCGAACCCCCGATCGGCGGGCCCCACAGCAGGAGTGTCTCGCGTCATCGGACGGCCATTGCGATATGGGGGGGCCCAAGCACGCAATCTGTGAATGAGAGCTCGACACCATCAACCCGGCCAGACGGTTGTAGCATTGTTACGTTGTGCCTGTTCAATTGTGAGTACCTTATACAGTAGATATCAGTGATGTGTAATGAGGGGTAGATCAGATAAAACCTCTCTCTCCCCGTTGCAGAACCTTTTTCCCCTTCTCCAATTTCAGTCTTTGTGATATAAGTCCGTCTCATCTGCCACTTCCCCTCATTTTGAGACCTCATCCAGATACCTCGCCTTAACACCTTTTCATTTCTCTCAATTGATACCCCTTGCATCTTCATCACAATGGCCCCAGGTGCGCTCATTGACGAGCCCGTCCAGCCCTCTCAGGGCCCCTGGAAGGGCAAGAACGACGATGCCCCCAGAAACATCTTCCCCGACGGCATCCGCACATCGGGACAGCACAACCCCCTCTACGACGCCCTCAAGCCCTACGCAGAGTTCCCCAAGGAGATCTCAGGGCCGACGGTCTGGCACAAGGAGGAGTTTGAGCAGCAGCCCGAGAAGTGGACGCACCGCTTCACCCCTGAGGAGGTTGAGGAGCTCGGCCGCACCTCCGATGCTTTTATCGCCAGCAACACCCCTCTGACGGGTATCTCCAAGGTACGTCTGACTTTGTTCCTCAAAGGAGAGATGAAGAGCTTCACTCGAACGACTTCAACCCGTACCCAGACGACTGTGCACTAACACAACCACCAACAGTCCAACTTCCCCCTCCCAACACTAGGCAAGCGCCTCACCGACCTCCGCAAAGACCTTATCGACGGAAAAGGCTTCGTCCTCTTCAAGGGCTTCCCCGCCAACGAATGGGGCCCGCACAAGACCGCCGTCGGCTACATGGGCCTCGGCACCTACCTCGGCTACTTTGTCTCCCAGAACGGCCGCGGCCACGTCCTAGGCCACGTCAAGGACGTCGGCGACGACCCGACCCAGATCGACAAGGTCCGCATCTACCGCACCACCGCCCGCCAGTTCTTCCACGCCGACGACGGCGACCTCGTCGGCCTCCTCTGCGTCCAGCGCTCCGCCGAGGGCGGCGAGAGCGACCTCGTCAGCATCCACGCCGTCTGGAACGAGCTCCAGCGCTCCCACCCGGACGTCGCCGAGACCCTGACCAAGCCGATCTGGTACTTTGACCGCAAGGGCGAAGTCTCCGAGGGCCAGGAGGAGTGGACGCGCCAGCCCGTCTTCTACATCGAGAACGGAGGGCAGCGCCGCGTCTACTGCAAATGGGACCCCTACTACGTGCGCTCGCTGACGCGCTTCTCCGACAAGGGCGTGATCCCGCCCCTGAGCGAGGAGCAGCTGCACGCGCTCAAGACGCTCGAGGATACGTGCCAGAAGCTGGCGCTGCACATGATTCTCGAGGTGGGCGATATCCAGTTTTTGAGCAACGCGCACCTGCTCCACGCAAGGACGGCGTATACGGACCACCCCCACCCGGCGCCGCGCCGGCACTTGTTGCGGTTGTGGCTTTCGACACCCGAGAGCGAGGGCGGGTGGGTGCTGCCGTTCCCCGATAGTAAGGAGCTGAAGAGGGGTGGTATCCAGGTGAACAATGTGCCTCCGCGGGCGCCGTTGGATGCGGAGTAGAGTTTGTTCTGATGAGGTTGGGTTAGCATTTTTTGTGAAATTTGTATTTAGAGCGCTTGTGAGGATGAGAGACAATGTTTGGTGCATCATCTGCGATGAGATGCAGGGGTTTTGACTGCTCCATGAGAGATTGGCGGAAAGCCCGCATAGAGATTTCTCAGGAGACATGGCTCTGCAGACATGAATGGAAAAAAAGTAAAAATTTGAGAAACAAAATCAGATCAACCATCATGAAGTGAGTCGTTTCCCACTGAAGTGATTGAAGCGTGACCGCGCATACACACCCACTACACTGGTGAGTCGAGACATGCCGCAAGAGAGAAAATGAGATGGGCAGTTTTCCGGAATGCCCAACCTGTCCAGCGGGGAAATGGTGTGATTGCTTTGCTGTGAGAGAGAGATTGTACGTGAAGAAGAGACGTGAAATGAGCGACTACGGTGCGTCCGGCGAAGTTTGGCGAAGTTTTCCGCGGAATTCTAGTTGCCCAAGTTTCCCGGCAGTTTTCCGCTCTCTGATGGCGGGGTTGTTTTCATGTCCTGTCACACACTGCGACCTCGAAATGACCCCGCCGCGGGGCAATCGTCTTCATCGCAGGGGAGAGAGGTCCCCTAAACGCCACGGATGGAGGGGCAGCTTCCCGTCTCACTCCTTTCTCACTGCTCATGCATAGCTTACCGCGATGTGAGAGACTCATCGTGAGAGTGAGCCCGGCTTCAATTGAGCAACTCACTGAGATCACCATTCACTCATTGACCGCAATAGGAAACAATTCAATATGAGATTGCTCTCAATCGACCCAAGTACACTCAAATCAAGCGCAATCATCATGTCTTATCGCCAAATTGCCCCGCGATCCCGTTGCAGATAGCAGGTGGACCACTGCACCGTCCCCCTTATCCACCCGCCCGCGTTGAGCCCGCCCGAGTCAAGCCCGCCTCTTGGCCTTATACCATCCGACGTCGCTCCTCGACACATTGCACATCCATTGACTCTGTTATTAAAGACGAGCCCTGTCCTCACCTTCTTCTACAATGCCTCTCGTGTCTCCCATTCCTCTCCCAGCGTTCCTTCTCTTCTCCATTTGATACCCCCTTTTTCTGAATAGACAAGTACAACTTTCTTTCACCAAACCCAACCAAAAGAACCCAAGATGGCGGCAGTCCTCCCCGAGCCCTTTGCGAGCATCCCTCGCGAGAACTTCCTCTTTGGCCCCTCGCCCATCGAGCCTCTCCCCCGCATCTCCGCCGCCCTCGGCGGAAAGGTCAACGTCTACGCCAAGCGCGAGGACTGCAACTCTGGTCTGGCCTACGGCGGTAACAAGACCCGCAAGCTTGAGTAAGCTCTTCTCTCCTTCTCCACTCCCGCCTTCACAGCATCATAAAAGGCAACATGGACCATATCAGACAATCAAACTAACAACAATCCCCAGATACCTCGCCTCAGACGCCCTCGCCCAAGGCTGCGACACCCTCGTCTCCATCGGCGGCGTGCAATCAAACCACACCCGCCAAGTTACCGCCGTCGCCGCCAAACTCGGCCTCAAAGCCGCCCTCGTCCAGGAGAAGTGGGTAGACTGGACCGACCCCGTCTACGACAAGGTCGGCAACCTCCAGCTCTCGCGCCTCATGGGCGCCGACGTCCGCCTCGACCCCTCGACCTTTGGCATCGAGCACAAGAACACCCTCGCCAACCTCAAGGAAGAACTCCTCGCCGCCGGACGCAAGCCGTACTACATCCCCGCCGGCGCGTCAGACCACCCCCTCGGCGGCCTGGGCTTCGCGCGCTGGGCTTTCGAGGTCGAGGCGCAGGAGAAGGAGCTCGGCGTGTTTTTCGATACGATTATTGTTTGTGCGGTCACGGGATCGACTATGGCGGGTATGGTTGCGGGATTCAAGCTCGCGGAGAAGCTGGGAGGCAAGAAGCGCAAGGTTATCGGTATTGATGCCTCTGCGACGGTGAAGCAGACGTTTGACCAGGTGCTGCGCATCGCCAAGAACACGGGCGCCAAGATTGGTCTCGAGGAGGGCGATATCACCGAGGCGGATATCATTCTGGATGACCGGTTCCACGGCGGTGTCTACGGTATTCCTGACCAGGTCACCATTGATGCTATCAAGTTTGGAGCCAGCACGGAGGGTTTCATCACGGACCCTGTGTATGAGGGTAAGAGTCTGGCGGGTATGATGCAGCTCATCAAGAATGAGGAGATTGCGGCCGGGAGCAATGTCTTGTATGCGCACTTGGGCGGCCAGTTGGCGCTCAACGCGTACTCTGGCATGTAACTGGTTTCTTGATGTCTAATGATGAAGTTTTAGAGTTTTGCAGAAAAATAACAAATACCCTTTCATGTTCAACCTTGGCAGTGATCCTAACTTTTATTGTTGGTATTTCATCGGAGATGGCAGCAAAGTTCATCGAGACCAAGTTCGTACAAGTACACAACCATGCCTTGATGGTCTAACATCGACCTATCTCCGAATAGGGGGTCAGACTGGGATATAATTCCACACATATTCAACATGAAAATATATTTCTTCAAAGAACAATAGTCATTCATCATCGTCTCCAGCTCTTCGAATTATCATTGCAGAATAAACAACACTTGCTCAACAGCAACGACCACCTTCTACCTTACAATTATCTATCCTTATCCGCTGCGAATGTCCGTCATCTGGGATATCGCCTTCCTTTGCAGCCTCATCATCACTATCGAGCTGCTGCTCAACTCGCTCATAACAATCAAAATACTCTCTACACAAAAGAAGCACGTCCACTATGTCGACGACTAGTAGTAGCGCCTTCGCCATCAATGCCTCTGCTGATGCTCCTGCGAATTTCACAGACACGGACGATCGAGAGCCTTCGCCCCTATTCCTTAAGCTTCTCAAGATCTATATCATGGCATGCAACCTCTGGGTAGCCATCAAGTCTTTCTTCTCAAACAGGGGCATATGGAAGCCGGAACCCGCGGTAGAGAGGCCCACCAATTACGAGAAGCTTATGGATCTCGCACAGCGACACGAGTATTTGCAGTGTCATAGAAAGCGGAAAGTTGCCAAAGAAAACCACCCCGGCGACTACTTCCAGCAACGAGTGTTCACCCCCGAGGACGATCGGAAGATGTGGAAGACTCTGTTGCTGCCTACCAGCGAGAGCAAAGAGGAGAAGGAGAAGAGGAAGCGGCAGGAGGAGTCTAAGTATCTCGTTGACTTGATCGTTCAGATGCCTATCCTGAGTAGGCCTTGCACCGAAATTGAGCAGGCCAAGGCTGATGAGCAAGTTGAGCCTGATAAAGGGCCCAAGGAAAACAAGCAAGCTCATGAGGGAAATCATGACAAGGAAGACAAGCAGGCCAAGCCCGATGAAGTTGACCCACACGACTGGAAGGTCGAGGGTGTACTTGCAACCATCGATTACGAGGCGCTGGGTTTGCACTGAGAAGAGATGTAGGGTTTGGGAGGCTCGCGTGCGACATTGAGCTCAGAGACAGGTGAGGAAGATAGCCTACATCACCTGTCTTATGGAATAATCTATCTTAGTATTCAATACCAATCCCTCCTCCTTCCAAGATAATACCACAGAAGCAATCTAGCGTACATTTCAAAGATGCATGTGAGTCTCTAAAACTACTTTATACACACCTTACCTCCCAAATATTGTAGTAAGACGTAAACTTTCATGACTCAGGATAACCAGAACGTCATCTTTGGGCCTCGAGAAGATTTGATTCAAGCCAGCTCAAAGCAAAAACCAAGTGCATTGTTGATTCACAATCTCATCAAATTCAAAATTCATCACAAATCCCCATCGCACCTGCCTTTGACATACACATGGTGAGAAGAAGGCAACTTCCGTCGACCAAGCAACTACCAACAACGAGGGAAGGTAGGAAGCTTTTCGACTTCACCTTTTCCAAAATAATTCACCGCCCGACAACTCACCAGCCTCACCTTTTGGGTTCACCTTCTTTCGCATCCTCTATCCCTCTCTTAACTTCCTAACTTGCCGTCGCTATTTCTCCGGCCGCACCTCGCAATTCACATTTCCACCCAAACACAACACCTTTTGCGCGAGCTTCGTAAGCTTGATCGCCAAACACGGCAAATAGCGACTTCATTAGCGGGCCTTCCAGCCTTTTCCTTTTTTGAAAATCATCGAAACCCCCTGCAGCTTCAGCTTCTGCTTCTCTGCTCCTGATCCTCCGCCAGCGGAAAAAGAAAATAGCTGGAAGACAGATATGAGTTCCGATACCATTGGAATAACGGCGGCGCCCTCAATGGAACTCGCGACGGATCCCACGATGGAGCTGGTCGAGTTCAAATTGGGCAGCAGCAGCAGCGGCAACAGCTTATCATCGTCGTCTTCTGCACCCGAGCCAAAGCGGTCTTGCCTTAAGAACAAATCGACCGATCCCAATCACAAATACCTCGGCAGTGATTCACCTGGCTACTTTCGTTCGTTCTTTCCTCTTTCTTAGTCGTCTTTCACTATCTTGGCTTTTGTTCACGCTCATTCATCTTAAACCCTGTCACTATATTATGCTGCCATGAAATCAAAAGCCGTCGGCTAATTCCGCTTCTCCTCTCAAAGACAAAGGCTCCTGGCTCGAAGAAATCGGCTTCGTAAAGAAGTACTTTCGCAAACACCACCACAGAGCACAGATGGCAGCATACATGGACCGGGTGCGTGCAGAGAACGCCAATGCAGAGCTTGCCAAGAGCAATGGCAAAAACACGGACGTCCCCATGGGCGACTACACCATCACCAAACCCACCGTACATTTCTCAGAGCCCATGGAAATGACATACTACTGCTACGAACCCGAGGAGGCCATGGCCGAGTACCCTGGCTATATGACGTCCAACAGGCGCGCGTGGGCCGAGGTCTCGTTTGAGCCGGGCAACCAAGTCAAGTCGGATGGGTTCCGGATGTGGCATCGTTGTCGTAAGCGGAGAAATGGCATGTTCTATTACGGTTAGGACTAGGTTTGGGATAATTGCCGCATTTGCTTTCGTGGCGAGCTTTGGAGTGGAAGGCGTTTGGGCTACGACGGGATATCATTTTAGACCAGGTGGTGTCTGTCTCTCCAGCGAGAAAACAGCCTTTGAGGTTTTGGCGTGATACATACGAAGTGATACCCCTTACAGATTTGGAATGGCTGACTGAAGGAGAAAATTTCAAGTCACTTACTCTGTGTTAAAAGTTCCATCTTCCCCAGCGTTCAAGGACTCGAGTCCTGCCGTTACATCGACTTCGCATGAGCCGAGTCATTATGATTGTAGACCAGACGCCCCGATAACTCATTGAGATGCCAGTGCCCAGGAACAAGAAGGATCGTACTGCTACCGCACCTTCCACACCTGCCCTGGGACTGAGGGCAAGCCCTCATATACCCCGTCAGTTCCATTCCTGTCACCAACGGCAGCAGGCGCCTCACAGGCCTGTGAGGTCAGGTCAAACTGCCGTTTGGCGGGATGGTCACGGGCGAGCCTGTTCGACTGGTTTAGCCTACGCTAGGGTCTAGGTTCGAATCCCAGCATGAGCACCAGAGATGTAGCCTCCATTCGCCACCGGGGGGGGGGGGGTGAACTCTTTTGTCTTTTTGGATCTCTGAGTGGTTATGTAAGTATCTACATATACGTTGATGAAGAGAGTACGATTTTATTTTTCCACCTTCTAAGCCACGGAACGAATTGCGTGTTCATGAGGTAATTACTTGGCGGCCGTTGTGGCTTGCCCGGAGGCTGGAAGGGGCAAAGGGCGAGAGAGTTTTCCGGACTGACTGAGGGTAGGGATGAGCTTGAAAGAGGTCTGAAAGGAATGAGGGTAAGCTATCCCTCATCCTGCCCGATAGTGGGTTCTTCAGCATTTCCCACTTATCTCAAATACTTAGATAATACAGCTTTGTTATTGACTTGACTGTAAGTATGCTCCTCCCTCTCATATCTGAGCCCATCGCAGGAGTAACCAGAGCGGGATGCTTCATATAATGGAGCACTTTCAGCAGAAATTTTATGCTCGAGGTTTCTATGATGTTTCTCTCGAAATTCTGAGAAGGTAGAGGTGGATCTCGTTTCTCAGCTGATCATTTCATTCATAATGGCCATGTTGCCGGCAGGCTGAACCTCCTAGGGATCTCATCCAACAGTTCTACTTGTCACATCTAAGGCACCTGGATGAGGTGATCAAACTACCCCTTCGTCTATGTACTGAACGAGTCCTTTGCCTACGTCTGGAGCCCCGTCCTGAAGACAAAGGATTCTCTGTCTGTCAACCTTATCGGGGTCGTCAACTCCCAGTGTCGACTTGAGCCTTAACAAGATCCGGACACTCCTCTACCGACATACCACGATCACGGCCAGTAATGACTAGGCCTGGGGCGTTGGAATACATGTCCATGACACTGGTTTCTCCAGCCCTGATGGTGAGTGAAGGTAATTTGGGGGACCATTGATCCTCATTGACATCTTCCCTACCAAAAAGGAAGCCTTGTCTTCTTAGACTGACAGGGTTTAGGTAGGTACCCAGAGTCGGGAAGGAGCACGTGGGTCATCCGTATGAACCGCACCTGCCTTACCATATCAATGTCGGACGGGCTTTCCTATTCACCCGAATATACACGAGAAATCCCATATAGGTCCCCTCAGTTCCATTCCTATCATCCAGCCAGCGGGCGCCCCCTTGGGGGTCAGGTCAAAACTGGCTGGGTGGTGGAGTGGTTGAAGTCCACGAACAGCCTAATCGGTGAAGGCTCAGAGGTCCCGTGTTCGAGTCCCAGCATGTGCGCCAGAGATGTAGCCCCCATTCGCCACAGGGGGGGTGAACTGTTTAGCTTTTTTTTTGTGATTTGGATATTTCGTTATTGATCCAAGGGGAACGGTTATTATCGGCGACTCTGATTGATAATCAGATTTATCTCCAGCCATGGAACGATCAGTGGCGTCAAGAGGTACTTGGTGATTATTGCCAAGGCTGTGTGGCGTTTTCCCTCGAGGCTGTGCCGGTTCAGACCGATCGTGAACATGTACGGTGTGGTGAGACAAGGTTCGTCATGTCTTCCATGCATCCGAGGTGGCGCACCCACTACGGTTCCTGGGGTAAAGAACTCAAGTACGACAAATTACCCCATTCGGGGATACAGCCGCATTCCACGTATCACAAATGAGGCTTTTTCACGATGGTGGTCACGAGGCAGGACCTCAGCCTTTCTTATGTTCCCATCCTTTTGGCGATCTCCTCTTCTCAGTACCCAGCCTGGGAGCCCGGAGGCTCACTGGTTGACTGTTGACCACACGTGATGGTATGTTACACATCGTGATGCTGACCGTCATTGGATCGTACTGAAGTTGCCTCGTTTGTAGCGCTCGCCCTGTTGTGCGTGTGTAGAAGCTCACGATGCGGGGTATGGCCATCTCCGAATGGTCCAGTCGGATGCATGTAAGGTAGTGAGAGGTGACAGCCTGCTTGCGACCTCTAGGCTGAGCAGCAACGCAATTCCTCTATAACATTCTCACCCGAACTCATATGCTCGGTGTTATGAGATCGTTTCATGTTGGTAGACCTCAACACGTGAAGCAAACATATCACAAAGAACGGAAGCTTACGGAAGCTCGAGACTCCACGATGGACATGAACGACAAGATGGAACTCCTCGAAGCTCACGCACTCACATTACTATCACACTCATGCCCGACACTCCAGCAACTCACTTGCTCCGCTAATTCAACCCAAAAGAGGCATCTCCCTCTCAAGACCCGCACATCTCGTGTCTGCTTGCGATGCCAACAAGCAATAAGTCCGCCCCGTCCGCCAGCCGAACCCAACTTTGGGAAGAAAGCCACGCGGCGTGTAGAAGCACAAGTTCAGCAAACGCTCGCAATCATCGACTTGCCACCTGAGCTACACCACAGCATCATAGACTTTCTCGACCCCATCGATAGCACGTGCCTCGGGTTGGCAAGCCGCCACTTCTACACCCTTCACCGACGGCGGCATGGCACTGTCCATCTCTCTACAAGACCTCCGAGGCCCAATGACCAGGAATGGGCGTGGAGATTGGCATCTACGTTGTCGGCTTTGGAGTCTATCAAAACAACGACGGCGACGACTGCCGCCGACGATACCACGTTAGCAGACGAGCAGCCGATATCCTATCCGCAGCCGCGCCCGCCCTTTTGGTGCGAAAAGTGTGGACTCGAGCGATGTGAACTACAAAGACACATCCGAGACTGGTTCCCTCGAGACCACAAATACTGCACCATCTCTGGGAAGTTTGTGAGGCTAGGCCTTCCTAGGGGAGCAGTAGGATTCTGTCATAGGCGCTCGCCTAGAAACTCCCGCTTGTGTGGGAAACATCACCCACGATCCATTGTCGGAAAAGTTGTCCGAGAAGCCACAGAGGCGTGTTATGGGGACTACCAAAGGCCCAGTTGACGGGAATGATGGGGCGAATTATGGTCTGGAGGGCATAGGAGATAAACACCCTGGTTTACGCAACGTTGTGTCGTAGAAAAGAATAATAGAGTTCAGACTCGAAAAGCTTGTCTCAACTCACCTATGAATGAGACGGGGCTCGTCCGACCTTCACCCACTCTTAATTGACCCCTCAAATCAGTTGAATAAGGATCAACTGACTCGTTGTGTTCCCCCTTGAAGCAGCGTCTCCCTACCGCATAGTCATTGATCGCATGAACTCTCAATTCGCTTCGTCATGAGTTACAATCCGTCTTCGCGGTTCCCCAGTTCTCGCTGAACTTGGTCAAGATAGACTGGCATTTGTTCCGAGTTGGTGATGGCTGGCGACGGAGCAGTCTCTATGTATCTCCACCACGAAGTCATGATCAGCCGCTGAGAGACAGCCGTGTCAATGAACTTGATTCAACATGGCAAAAAGGGCAAGTTCGGGTTCAGAGACTAGAACGGCCACGAACAGGTCGCCAGAGGCGGCGGTTGGGTACAGGTTAGGAATCGCCAAAGAAGCCGTATCTCTGCCGTCGCTCAAGGCGGCACGCGAGTCAACTAGCCTTCCAGCTACTGCTCACGAGCAAGCCCTCGAAAGTAGGTTGAAATGTCGCGCGTTAAAAGAGCAGCTGCCGGCTCAGCAACGTCATGTCACGTAGGGTCGCCAAGACTTTGGAAAAGTTCGAGAACCAAGCAACGCCGCAGGCTGGCAGAAGCCAGGAACCCACAGCTCCCCCCCCCCCCCCCCCGGAGTTGGAGAAGTGGCAACTCCGGCTCCCCGGATTTATCCCTCCCTCTATTACCTGGGATTCTAAGCACGCGCCGAGTCATTGTGTCTTTACATCAATTACCCGATTCGATGCGCAAGTGGTAAAGAACCCGGGGGCGAGCCAATCATGTCGAGTCGGACGGCTGGATCTGGGAGTGATGTGCTATGGTTGGCAAGGATACTACGATGTCGCTCAAGGAGTCAAGACGAGGGGAAGCTGGAAGGAGAGGGGTTGTCTGGAAAGTCTATTTCGACTGCTACCATTACAGTCGCTCTTGAAGTTGTAATGCTCCAAGACTTCTATTGAGAGAGGTTCAGACGATAGGCTCGTCGGTTTGGGAGTCCAGAATTTCACTCCTCTTCAGCGCATCGAGTCGCGGAGGCGCGACCGAGGCCGACAACAAAGTCCCTGTTTCCACTTGCTCCTCCCCACTGGCCAAGTGATCTTCGTTTCGAAGTGGATGTGCTCAGTGTATATAGAGTGTGGCAATGTAGATCAACTCGAGTCATGGAACCTGTACCGACAACCTTGTTGATTGACATCCCGCTATCCATACTTATTGATGTAAACAAACGCATGGGTAATCCGCCCTACTTGATCCTGAAATGCGCCGACAAAGGAGCTACTCATGGCTCAAACAAAGGATTACGAGATGATGGATCTGAACATGAACGGGTTGTGGTTTGTATGGTTTTGTTGAGTAAAGTAGAGTAAGGTAAATATCTGTTGATGCCAACAGCAATGTCGCCAATGCAACACTTTAACCCAGAACGGTCGTTTTCTCTCGGGCATGTTTCCGCGCCTTTGAGCAGATACGACACAAATGCCCAAAGTCTTGGGCCAAGTATGGTCTTCTGAAATTTTAATCCTCGTCGCTATGATCGAAGCAGTCCACGCTCATGGTAATAATATGCCAAAAAGAAAAGAAAAAAAAAGAAGTGAAGAAAAAGAAGGGGGGAAGGGAGGATTTTATCGCGCTTTGCCCTCTCGGGCCGGCGGAAAAAACACGAACATGAACTCTTTCCAAACTCATGACTCGTCCCCTTTTACTGCTCCCTCCCCGAAAACTCGTAGCCCTCCATCCAGCCGGCAAGCTGATCCAATTCACAGCTGCCGCAGCGGAGCAGCAGACGTTGAGTGTACGGGACCTGTACCGCGGCTGCCGACGGTGATTTATCCTTTTTGTCGTCCGTCTGGACCAAATCCGCAAACCGGGCATCGCTAAGGTAGTCCTTGACGCGCATCTCCTCGGCCGGCAACGAAAACAGACTGGCGTTCTGCCTCGTCACCTCCTCGATGCTGACGTTGTGTTCCCGCTCAATCATCCGCTTGCCGATGTAGTGCAGCTCATGTCCCCCGCCCAGTGTCACGGGCTCCCGCCTTCCCATAGCGAGTTCCCACGCAATGAGCCACGCCTGGTACCGTATATCGAGCCAGCGGCACTTTACAATGACGAACTCGACGAGGGAGAGGAAACTCGGTTTAAAGTCGAATTGAAAATCATCCGGCGTCTCGGGCGGCACGTCCGGACAGCTGTCGAGAATCAACCGCGCGAGCACGACGATGCGGGCGAAATTCTCCTTGAAGCAATCGTAGACGGATTCGTCGTGGGACCGGCAGACGCTGATGCAGATCTTGGCCGCCTGGTACTTCATCTCCGTCTCGGCGCAGATGAGCCCCTGGTGCTTCGGCAGCGGGCGGTCGCCGTCGGCATCTTGGCGGGGGAACTCGACAAAGGCGAGAAAGGCGGCGTGCCACCGGTCGAGCGAGGCGCAGATGTGCTTCTGCTCCTCGGACATGACGGGGCCCTTGGAGGCGAGGCGAGAGTCGGTCTGCGACCCGGGGTCGGCGGAGCGGATGTAGCGGATGGCGTCGAGGAGGATCGGGTCGACGGCGCGTTTGGGGAGGTAGATGCTGCTGCTCTTGTCAAAGGGGCCGAGGTTGTACCTGGATCCTAACCCGCCGAGGCTTCCTACGCCGCCGCTGCTGCCGGTGCCGCCGCCGTGTTGGAGGTTGAGTGAGGGAAAGCCCGGTTTGTCGTAGTAGCACAGCTGGATGATGCTGAGGCGGTGGAATTTCGGCACGATTTCGTCAAGCGTGTCTTGTTCCAGCTCGTCGTAGTCTACGTTGTTGAGGATGTTGATGCCGCTGGCGAGGTGCTGCATGGCGGCGTCGAAGCTCTTGCGGAGGAATTCTGTAGCGATGAAGAGGATGCAGCAGGAGAGGACGACGTCCACGTCGTTTGGCTGCGTCATGTCATCGTCCGGGTCGTCGCCGCCGGCTTGGCTCTGGGGTGATGTGAAGGGGTTTGTCGGCGTGAGGGTGTCTTGCCGGTCTGGTTCTGCGAGCTCTGGTATGCTCGAGATGCCTGGCGTCATAGCTGCCGGGGACTGGATGGCTGATGACGGTCCGGCGGAAGACAGGCTCGGGGATGAACGGTTGTTGGGTGATCCAAAGGACCTGCTATTGTCGTTTCGTATCGTCGCCGTCGTCGAAGTTGTCCTAGTGGTGGTAGTCGTTCCCAACATCGTCTGAACATCCTCAAACCCCCTCTCCGGCGCGACCTTGTTGGCCATCAACCGCAGCGCCTTGCCATAATGCTCATCAGCCTGCGGATTCCCTCTCCCTCCATCCGCAGTCGTTGTCGTCGCCGTCGACGTCGTCGTCGTGATCGTCGCTCCTTGGATCGAGTTACTCGGGGGTCCTCGCTGCGGGAAAAGACTACCAATGGCAGCCATGGCATGCCTCACGGCGGGCTCCGACTTACTCAGGCGCGGCACAAGGTCGGACCAGAACTTGTTTTCAAAGTTCTGCGGTAGGTTGGGGGCGACGTCCCGAGCAAAGTACTCCACAGTGGCCTGGTCCGATTCGAATTCCCAGCCTGCCCTGGCCTGCGCGAGCGCGTCTCTCAGCCTAGTGGTGCGCGAGCGCGCGCGGGCGATGGCCCGATTGCTGGGGACGACGACGGCGTAGCCCTCGCATTTGCGGCCGGTGCTGGTGCAGCGCGCGCACGCCGGTTTTGCTTCATCGCACTTTACCTTGCGTGACCTGTTTGATTGAAGAAGAGAGAGAAGTAAGAATGGCGGAAACGACCGGTGGGAGAGAGGAAGGGAAATGTTCCTTTTTCTTCTTCAAGACGGGATTGTGAATGTGGGAACGGAGACGGAGACGGAGGGTGAGGCCCGGTGGCCGCTTGGTCACACACGCACATCACACACTCTCACATACGACACATTCTACAACGCGCGCACACGGTACGGCACACCTTACACACACCATATACATGTATACCACCGTACATACGCAGCCAGAGATGGGGCCGTTCGTCCGGTCTCGTCTCGGCAGCCGGCCCCGATTAGAAACTGCAGCCCCGGAGACAATCCGGAGACCATCCGGAAGTCATCCGACTTTTTGAGGGATATAACACGTTCCGCCCGAGGCTGGGATTTTGGGCTGAAGCCAAAGCAGCGCCACGCAGCCCCCATCCGAATCGCCGATCAAGAAAGGAAAAAAAGTCAAAGGAAAAAAAGAGGAAATGCAGTATGAGAAAAGAAACTCACTTGCAAGTTAAACAGCCTGTCCGAACCTTTGGCTGGCCCTTCCGTGTCATTATGCCTGCTCTGCTCTACTCTGGTCTGGACTCTACCGTCCCGCGTATGCTTGCTCCAGCTGGCAGGCGGGAAGGTTGAGAAGGTAATAAAAAAAACCCGGACCCAGGTCCGAGTACCCGCAACAAAGCACGTTCGACAGCGCGGCAAATGCGTGCGGGATTTGGGTGTGTGTGTGTGTGTGTGTGGTGCAGGAAGTTTCCGAAGACCCGGAGGCTGCGGCTGCGGCTGGGGGCCTGGCGGGAAAAAGACGAGGAGGAGAACGGGAGTGACGCGAGGCAAGGCTACTCTCTTCTGAAGATCTAGAAGGAAAAGGGGATGAGGAACAGAGAAGAAAAAAACCAAGAGAGCAGTAAGTTGTTGCGTTTCAAGTTTCGGAGGGGCAGAAAATCAGCCGCGCCGATGAGGCCAGGCAGACTAGACGCAGGTCGCAGAACGCAGCTGGCCGAGGCTGAAGGATGGGTGAGATTGGTTCGTGTCTGTCTGTTTGTCTGTCTGACTGTCTCTCTCTATAGGCTATTGCTTAGTTTTTTTTCTCCTCTGCCTCTTTCTTGTTCTCCTCGTTCGTCTTCTTCTCTTTTTGTCTGCCCGCCCCCTTCCCCTCCGCCCTCCGGCCCCTCTCCCCCCTCGACCGAAAGGTGACTGAGCAGCAAATTCCTGCCTGCGGCACTGCCTGGTCTGGCATGGTCTGCTTTCTTACCTACCTAGGTAGTATGGTTCTGGTTCTGGGTTTTTGCTTCACCGTTCTGCTTCCTACGCGCAAGGCACAGGCGCAGGCGCAGTGCGCGGCGCGTGTGGGCGGCGCGGGTTGCGGTGTCACTCTTGTTCCCCTGTCTCTCCCTGCGTCCAGTCGACTACAAGGTCACGAAAGTAGCGATTTTGGCTCTTCTCTGCTTCAACGCTTGTGACTTGCCCCCTCTCTTGTTGTCCTCAATTTGGGTCAAATTTGGGTGCAAATTTGGGGGCCGCTGCGGCCACCACCGCCGCACCACCAGCAAGATGCGTTTCTTTACCAAATTGAATTCTTCGGGCTTCTCCCCTCCCCTGCACAGCTGCAGTTGTCACCTGAGGAGGACCTGGTACGCCTGTGCTTCCTATGGCCGATCCAACACGGCGCTAAATTTTTTGGTCACTTGGACTTGGCGTCGAGAAGACCAGGGGAGGGGGGAGGGGGCGTGTACAGTAGTGTACCGTCGGGTGTTGATGAGATTGATGACCCAAGAAGGGAATGCGAGCGCGGCTGTGCCATGTTCAAGTTGTGTCTGTTGGACGGGGGTGGATGATGATTATGCAAAAAAGGACTTTTGTTCATAAATCTCTCTTGTGCCTCTAACTGTGCCGTAATTCCACGGATATTTCTTCTTCTTCTTCTTCTTCTTCTTCTTCTTCTTCTTCTTCATCCTCTTCTCAACCTTTCTGCTCATATATTCTAGTAGAGTCAAGTATACGGTAGACACTTGAGTCTGGACATTGACACTTTGGGGGGGGGGGGGGGGGGACGAATACCTCCGCCCGTTGCCGTCCGCCTAACAAATCAGACGATTTGATTGTCACGAGCTAAATTGTTAGGGCTCGGATAATGACATGAGCAACTAGCGTCTCTGGATTCGTCTGGATTCTAGGCCCTGTCAATGGCTCATGCTTCATGGTGTCGAGCTTCAGCTACGTCTGACAGCTGACCAATGAGACGTTTCTAAACCGAGACAATGGAAAAAGGAGACGAATGCAGAAACAATGCTCGCATTCTGCGCAACCCTGCCACCCCCCGTCCACCCGTCCACCGGCGCGTTGCGGCGTTGGGCGGCGTTGCCTGTGCCGGCCAACTATGTCGCGAAGACACCACGTTTTCGAACACCAAACATGCCTAAGCTCATGGATGATGGGAGGGGGCCACAGCTCATGGAAGGGGGGAAGACTAGGAGACTAGGAGGGGTCCGCCAAATGCGACGGATCATCGGCAGATGACTTTCGAAGCGCCTCCCTTTTGAAACATTTGTTGAAATATCGTTTCTTCTCTGACAGAGAAACTGCCGTAAACCTGGCATGTCTTGTCCAGTCTCGGGTGACACCGTAACTAGTTGACCATGATCCGCCATCCTCCGTGCACAGTAGGGGTAAAAACGGCCTTTGGAACTTGATAGAATGGGATCAGCATTGGAGAATGTTTCACTCCAATCAAAAGAATTGGCCCAATAAGCTCAATCACAGAAGTTTGCACCAGCTGTAAAAAAGAGAGACAAGGGTCGGTTTCTTGTGCCCGTAGCACGTAGATATAGCGTATCTCGCAAGCTGCGCGATTCTCCCCTCCAAATAAGGAGTACTCCGTAAGAAACCACATGAAAAAACCTAAGCTAAATCAGCCGATCTGAGCTTCAATCGCCGACTCACACACCCCCAAAATAGTCCAATCCTCGCGAATCCCATCTCTCAAAATACTTGACACACCAGGGGACCATTGGTCTGTGTTTTTCGGTTGACCCGAGTGGTGTCTGTGTCGGAAATTGGTAAATGAAATGGCTGGTGAGCCGAGGCAACTTCGCACTTTGATGAATAAGATCCCAGCAGCCGGTTTAGTCTGCCCAGGCAGGCGAATTAAGAGAGAGAGAAACTCGAGCAAAGGCCACCTTTGCATCCCGTTTAATTTCCAAAAAAACAAAAACAAAGGAAAAACCATTTCCCATGCTGATTCCTGATTCCTTTGCAGATCCATCGAGTTCGTAAAGTGAGTATACAATAAGCACTCTGATGGATTGTGCTACGAATGTACAAGTCAGCATGAAAGAGGGATTGAAAGGAATGCAATTCGTCAACATGCCGAAGCCGCAAGCGTCACTATGTTTGAGACAATTCCAGATATCATTTACCGACCGGTCTAGCGCCAAAGATGGCTTGGCACGGGTATTGGGAAAACCCAAATTTTAATAAAGACACAACCCCTTCCTGTCTCTGGAGAGCCGGCGGGATATCTCGCTTTTTGTCACAAGACGTTGTAGCCTGGAGGTCTCGAGTCGTTGCCGCGATTATCGCCGCACGCAGCCACAGAGTCCCTTCTTAACCCGTAATTTTGAGCTAACACTCAACAATCAAATATCCAAGACCCGCCTTGCTAGCTCAATCGGTAGAGCGTGAGACTCTTAATCTCAAGGTTGCGGGTTCGACCCCCGCGTGAGGCTCAAATCCTCATCGCGATTGACCAAGTCATTCTTCGGGCATTTATTTTGGTGTTTTTGATCATTTTTATCGAAATTGACAGAGTTCCGGGCACTTTGGTTTGACTTTTGGCCTTCCGCTTTTAGCTCTTCTGCGTCGACGGCTTTTGGCTTATGCACACGCCACTCGTCTGAACTAAAGTTGGAAAAACTCTAAGTTGGCCTTGAACTTAGATTCAAAAGGGCACTGATACATTGATTAGTATTCTCGCAAGATGCTCGTCCATCTCATCTAGATAACTCGAAAACGGCTGGCATACCGGAAGATGTACAAGTTTGCCGTCGAATGGCCAACTCGGAGTCTGCAAGAATGATGAAGTCAAAGCGCTCGCTAGAAAACTTCTCTCCATCATTTGCAAAAGAAGTGTCTCATTAAAAAAGCGTTTTCTTCAACGTGCCTAGACTGCTTTCTTTCAGCGACACATTCTCCTCCCCGCGTCACAATGGCCCGAGAGGAGCTCGCAATGGTTTCGTTTTCCACCTTCCCGGTCATGGTCGTCTAGATTGATGGCTGTTGGGACAAAGAAGCCCAGGCATCTTTCTGCCTTCAACATTGACGAAGATGGGTGGACATGGAAGCTGAAAGCTTCCCATTCCGTCGAGAGATCTAGAATAGACTCCATCGACATGGCACCTAAGCTCCTTGCTCAAAACTTGAACACTTCACTTCAATCAATACCCATATGCATCAAGCTCTTCCTTGCTAATTTACTTCCACCCCAAACCAACGACATGAACCGCGAACCACGAACCACGAAGGCCATGCCGCTAATCAGACTCCTCAATCTGCCGCCAGAAGTTCTCCTGGAGATATGTCGACACGTAGCAGCACCGATGCAAAACGCGTTCTGGAGGCACTTGCATTGGCATTTTTTCCCCGGCGGCGCTATGCAAAGAACAAACCTGGCCGATGTCCTCACATACGGTGCACCCCTTGCCCGGCTGATGCGGACGTGCAGAGTCATGCACTCGATAGCGGGCTACGAGCTCTACTCGTGCTACTACGACATGTTACGTGAAGCACTCTTCCCGGACCTCCGTCTTTTGTTAGACGTTCTAGTTTCCGGGCGCTTTATTCGTCGTTTCCGGTTACCTAGAAAGAGCTCGACAGAGGAAGAGGAGGAGATCACCGTCACTCTGACAGGTCTGAATATCGAGAACAGGTCAGGCATGTGTGTAGACACTCACAACAACGTTAGTCCAGACATGGACTGGTCGGATGAATAGCCTTGGCCCAGAACGGATCACCAACGCCGCAAACCGTCTCGTTATCCCTTTTCCCAAGAATTGGAATAAATGCCATCTAGGATGCGGACCGCAAGACCCTATATCTGAATTTGTTACCCATCTCCTCCTCCACTGCTTCCCCCGTTCGACCAGCCTCAACGTCAATCTAACCCGTCCATAGAAATTCGCCCTTCTCCAAGCTTTTAAGACCAGCGACACCGAACATAGCTATTGTACCGAAACTCAACACCCCATTCCTCCATCGAGGCCCGCAGCTTGCCAAACCACAAAACCATGCTCAACAGCGCGCCCTTTCTTGCCCTCGTTCACGACACGTTGCCCCTTTCGAATCCCAAGGGGTGTTCGCCTCGAGCTCCTCCGTCACCTTGACGTCCTGCTCTGCGGACCATTGCCAATAACACCTGTCGATCCTAGGACGGGGGAATCACCGTGGGGGGATTACAGTCGACAACCTTGACAAGCTGAACCCCGAGGACCTGGAGAGCTTGACGGTCACGCGCGTGGAAGACTGTTTCGGCGAGCTGACAAGGACGAGTCTTCCAGACTTGTGCCGCGAGCTGAAGGTTGTGCGGTTTAAGAACTTGGGCAAGATTGAGATCTGTCATCGAGTCATCGATGAGGGTGCACAGCACCATATAGCACGCAGCCTGTACTTGTGGAAATCCGCATAGAAGTGTATAGTTGGTGGTTTGAAGGGGAGTTCCCCAGGGTTACTGATACTCCTAAGGTTCAACCGCCCGCAGCACCCTGCTTAGTTGAAGTTGTTTGACGATCTTCCTGGATTTGATGAGAACTTTTTGCAATTAAGATATAATAGGCCTTGAACCTGAATTGTGTCAAGCCCAAGGTGTGATGCCGTCATGCTCTGCTCCTCACGAATGACTTGAATGCGTATGCTCATGAATCTCCACCGACTTATTCCCAGAAGCCGTCCCCCTCGACTCAAACATCGTCAACCCATGCTCCTCAATATCGTCCTCCTGCCTCTGCCCCGTACCCAACGACCGATGCTTCCTCCTCTTCATCCCCGAGCTCCCAATCGTCTGAATCGAACTATGCACTTTGGGCGTCTGATCCTTACCACCACCCGTGAACAGCCTCCTCAGCGTCGGTGCACACCCGCACACAATCGCCAAATTCGCCTCGAGCGCGGTCCACACCCAGATATTGAAACCATCCCACGTCAGGTCGTACGACGGATCCTCCACATACAAGACCTCGACGCGGATGACCCAGTACGTCCGCATGATGCCCGCAAGTACGACGACGGTGCCGAGGCCAAAGAGGATGATGAGGCTGATGCGCTGGGTGAGGGGCATCTGGAGGCGGAAGAGGGTCGGCATCGGGAGGAGGTAGACAGCGACGTCGGTGAGGACGTTTGTGATGCCTTGGCCTGCGAGGGGCGGCCATTCGGGGATGCAGTTTCCCCAGTCAGCGAAGAGGGTCCAGTAGTGCCATATCGGCCTGTAGATGGAGGAATGTCTGTCAGTCATCTATTGCTTCATAAATTCCAAGGTAAGAGCGTTGCTTACATGCACTGCGTCCAGAGCACAATGAGAAAGACCCAAACGAGGGTGAAGACGAGACCGCCAGTCACCCAAGTGAGCCGTTGAAACCATGTGCCCGGTGCCGCGAGTCTCAGATAACTGGCGAGAATAGAGAGCTTGGACAGGCCGGAGGCGAAGAGGAAGAGCGTTTGCGCGGCCATGGAGATCTACCATGCATCAATCGTTAGAGTTACGCCTCTGAAGTCAAGATCTCGCCAAAAGGAAAACGTACCTGACGGCTTTGCTTGATCAGTGACAGCGGAACATCCCACACGTGCAGGTTCCAACCGTATAATTCAGTGGCTAAATGCAAATTGTTAGCCTCAAGGTTCCTTGTTGCCCGTAACGATGCCTTCCACAGCTCCAGTCCAGTCGGAGAAACCCATACCGAGAATGACGCAAATCGTGACACCAATGCAGAATATCATGCCAGCGACCATAAGCCAGTCATCCCACCATGTCTGTCGAATCTTGACAATCCTGATGTACATCCGCAGGCAGAGACATATCATGGCGATGCCCAAGAAGACCATCTCGATGATTAGCAGCCCCGGCCCTCGGTTCTCCGGGTTGACGTAGTTTGGCCGCGGCCAATGAATGAGCACATCGATTGGCGGAATCCTCATCGTGATAGACTTCCTGTTTCCGTCCCGGGCGTTTTCTGGCGATTTTGGACGCTGTTGTTGAGAGACATAGGCAAGGGTCCCAAAACCTTTCCCTCGGCCGTAAGTTTTGAGAACGCCGTTGAAGATCAGTCGACGATTAGTAGTTCAAAGGTTGTTACATGGGGAGGTGGCCTTCTGATACTATTAAACCTCCCCTCGCCAAGCGAACATGTAGCGCTATACTTCATTGTCACATCGCTTGGAGAAATCTTTTTCTCCTCAGGGGGCACACCATTCAACTTGTCAACGTAATAACGCTACAACAACGCAATAACGCTACAGAGCGGCTCCGCGAAAAGGTGTCAAAGGGCATGTATGTCTCAGACAGCCGGATGCATCAGTGCATTTCTGAAAAGGCGCGACGGGATCAGCACTAGGCAATCCGAACCGTGTGTTTTGGGCAACGCCACACATGGGGCGTCGCGCAATCCTTCAGAAAAACGAGGATCATGCAGTCGTAGGTGACTAGCCCTCGATGTGACGCCCAGTCTTTGCCAGTCTTTTCTCAATCTACCTTAGGTTGTGCTTAGACCACATCTAGAACTCTAGAATTTTGCGGCCGCGTTCACTACTCCGTACAAGGCGGCCGCTGGGCGTCGACCCGGACAAACGGCACGCTTCAATCTTTTATTCTAACCGGCGGGGCTAACCTCGAAGGCTTCTTGAACTTGTCCCTCTTGATTTGGTTCCAAACATTGGGATAAAGCAGCCCGTCCCTTACTCGTTGTTGTACGTAATGGGGCTGGCTGTTTCAATCAAACTGTTGATGGCCAGGTGCTCCCATATCCTCTGGGGATCGGATTACCCTCCACGCCGCGTGGCAGCCCTACCAAGACCACCAGTCTAGTGACAAACACTCCTTGTCCCGGCTCCCGACTCCCGTGTGCCCCAAGCTCGATGAAGATCCACGCGTGAGTGAGGAGAAAAAAGAGAGGCACAGACAAAGATCATCGTGTAATGACTTGCAGCTCGGACGTTTAGGTCCAGACTATTGGAAGCTAGCGTGCTCGCCTTATTGACAGCCCTAAAGCCTCGTGCTTGCGCGAAGTTTTGGGTTGAAGATCATTCTCTAGTATCTTTTCCTTGGTTTGCTTCCATGGCAGGCGTAGGGACAGCCATTGGAGGTTTTCATTCCCCGTTAGTGACTAGACGGGTTTGGATCCCACATACGCTTCTTGGGACGCTTCGAGGGTCGAAGCTGATGGATTGAGTGCTGCCATGTTTTGCAGCATACTATGTGGTCTCAACAGAGTCTTCCCCTCATCTCAAGCAGAAGCAGAAATTCTGGAATTGGAGAAATTCTGCTCCTTTTTTCAAAAAGTCGATTGCGTATCCGGTTCCCCGGCCTACTTTCGGGATCCTGAGCTTGGCCAACTTGGGAACGGCTTTAATTCCGACATACTGGGTCCACCGTCTAGCTCACTCCTATCTAAGAAAATGTGAAATGAACCAATTGTCCTATTTGGACCTTTGCGGCGACGCCACATTCCCAGTGGCCCGGCAGGCAGAAGGATGGGCAAAGTCCAACTTACTAATTACCCCAGCCTAACCCAGAAGGCCCAAGAGCGCTCTCCCCCTGGAACTCGACGAGGATTTTCTGCTTCCGCGTGGTCGATTAGAACGTGAGGGGAACTAGGCAAGTCCAAGCGCGGATGGTCACAATCAATGGAGATATGGGTAACTTGGATGGCGTACGGTTCGCAATAGCTGGGCTCGGAAGAGCGGCGGATCAAGGCAGGACCGGGTTTGGTCTCGGCCTCAGCTCCGAAATATCGGCCCCATGCGTCGGAGCCTCCTCCGAAGGCCAGGGAGAAGTCGATGCGCTACCTGGGCGATCACGGCAACCTTGTTGTTCATCTACTATTTTTCTTACTTAATATACACCTCTGATCCCGGGGAAGAATTATAAAAGCTGTAGGTAATATTTGTTACTTGGGCCTACACTAGGTACTTCAAATAATCTAGACTAGGTTTCGACTAAGAAAAAATGCATTATTACTGCATGATCCCCAACACTTCACACAAGCTTAAGCTCAACTCCACTAGCTAGTCTTCGCGGCGATTGCCTGGTTGTACTGCTGGGCTGCCGTTTTCATGTTGCCATAGTAGTTCTGGTAGCTCGTCTTGATCTGACCATTCAAGGCATCCACCATCTGCTTTGTCTGCTCTACCACGTCGACGATGTCAAGGACTTGCAGAACGATGTCGACCACAGATGCGATAGCTGCAAGTCCGACAATGGCTTTGCCCCAGCAATTCATCATCTTGAACACGCTTGTTTCCGCCTCTGCACCCACCAACTCCGCCATATCAGCGTTCTGAGCAAGCTTCGTGGTGGCGATGCTCATTCTGTTGGCCATAATGCCGACGCAAAGGACGCGGGCCATGGCCACTTCCGTGCTGCCATCGAACGTGAAGCCCTTGATGGAATTGACGAAGGTGGTCACATCATTGTCCGACTTTTGGCTCAAGTTCAATTGGTCCAGAGCATCGTAGACGGCACTGATCTGCTGGCTGTTGTAGAGTTTGCGCGCCGAGTCCGCATACTGTTTAAAAGTGGGGACATCGAGCGTGCCACCACCCAGTTCGATCTGCGCCATGAACTGCAAGAGGATAGAGCGACATGTCTGTCCGTCCATGCCTTCCGCCGCCATGGACTTGATCATGTCGTTGTTCGCCTTGTAAGCGGTAATATACTGAGAGACGGTGGGACCGATCAGAGTCGCGATGTCGGTGTCAACAGAGTTCAGCTTGCTGTTCAAGGCTGCGGACTTGCTGGAAATGTCGGCTCTGTCGAGGACAACCGAAGCCTGCAGGGGGATGAATAGAAGCATGCCAAGGCCGAAAGAATAGATGGAAGCCAAGGCGGCAGCATCCGCAGCGATCTGGATCGCATCTGTGGCAATGGTCTCGTCGCGCACGGTGTCCGCCAGGTCTACCAGCGTGTTGAACTCCGTATTGATAGGCGTGTCGAAGTCGAAATCGCCCAGGGACACGAAAAGCTTGTGCTCATCGATCAATGACTGGATATCGTTATCGGCTCCTCCAGTCCAGTTGGACATGTAGCTCAAGTAAGCGATCAAATCAGTGCTCATGTTGACGGTCGAAGATGAGAATAATACTGTTGAGTAAGAAGGAGTGATGCGGTGAGAAGAATGTGTAGGATTGCTGAGGCGAGTAAGCTCTTCTCGAAGCTTACCTGGCCATCTTATATAGTATTCTGTTTCTTGGAACAGGCAGTATAGGCACCAGATGCAGTTGGGTGACTGCTTCGTGACACGAAGTACCTAGCTATCTGGCCCGTTCCGCATATCAGCTTTCATATTACTTGAGATAGCTCCCACTGCAAACGAATATTTCGCGGATTGCGGGGACGGCCCGGACCGAATGGTGCTTCAGCCGCAGCTGAAGGACTTCGGCCAGCCTGGATGGCCGATGGCATTCCAAGCCAGACAACAAATGCCAGTGACGTCCTGAGCTGAGATGCACGTTGAGCGTCATGTATTGTTGCATTGGGTCGGGAAATCGAGTCAGTCGATTGCATATCGACTTTCCCGGCCTACTTTGGGGGTCTGAGCTTGGGAATGGCTTCAATTCAAATCGGCCTTTTTGCGGCGACGCCGCATTCCCAGTGAACAGTTCACTATACCCTTGGAACTTGACGAGAGTCAAGGATGGTGCCTACACTTTCTGCTTTCTCGCGGTCAGTTAAAACTCAATGGTAACTACTTAGGTAGGCAAGTCTAAGCGTGAATAGTAATGACCAATAGCGATATGAATATATCGCACCTATGCGGTTTAAAAGAGCTTGACTTAAAAGGGCGGATCAAGGCCGGGCTTGGCTTCTGCTCCGGCCCCGAAAAACCGGCCCCATGCATCGGGGCCGCCTCCAAACGCCGTGAAGAACCTGCTCCGCTTTCCGGGTGACTGGAGCAATGCAAGCCATGCGTTGCACATTACCTAGCGGCGTTCTGCGGATTGCGGGGAAGTCTTCCAGCTTGTTGAATGCCCGAGCGGTGCGGTATGACTGGGATCTGCAATTGTTCCACTCGTAACTTATGTTTCTTGTGACATCTACCCCTCAATGTCACAGTGAAGTGAAAACAATTAAGGATCAGGAACATGCGAAGCAGCGTTTGCTGAGCACAAAGATATCTGTGCACTGGGAACAGTCAAAGGCAAGCAAAATGTGGCCAATCACGACGGGCAGATATGAGGTTCCTCCCCACAAACCTTGAGCGACTTAACCGGGCACTTTTCGGCATCCCACCAGCGCCCCGTCACCTCCTCACACGAGGTCAGCGATTGCCTGAGTGACAATATCCTCATAACGGCTGGTATCTGTCACCATACTCTCTCACTCTTACTCTTGCTTTCAACATCTCGACCCGTCTACCGTCTCTGGGCACCTTGAAGATGCCGGCAAGTTCTCACCACGATGCTCATCTCTCATCCTTGGCACCGGCAATGCTAATATGATCTCACCCACGCAGCCATACAATCAAGTCGTCCTCTTTGGAGACTCCCTATTCCAGCTATCCTGCACGCCTCAAGATGGTTTCTCCTTCCAGGCTGCCCTTCAAGACCGTAAGATGGCCTTTCGTTATTCACCACTGATTTTTCAGGCTGGCACGTAATCCAATGCTGAACAAACAACGAGCAGTCTGTATGAGACGTCTCGACGTCATTAACAGAGGCTTCTCAGGCTACAACACGGCCAACGCTCTAGGCATCCTCACAGACCTCTTTCCGCCTCCTTCGCCAACGTCGCCCAAGATAGACTACATCGTGCGTCCAACCAGTCCTTGGACCTCCCAGACATTTCCATCAGCAATGCTGACCCTCTTTTAGTTAATTCTCCTTGGCGCCAACGACGCCTGCCTCCCAATCCCCACAAATAGCCAACAGGTCCCCCTAGACCAATACAAGCAAAACCTCAAAGCCATCCTCACCCACCCCACCATCCGCGCCCACGGCCCCAAGATCCTGCTCGTGAACCCCCCTCCCCTCGATGAGATCCGCATGCTCGAGCGCGATCTCGAAAAGGGCCACGGCCAGGCGTCGCGCAGCGCGGCCGTCAGCAAGACGTACTCGGATGCGGCGCTCAGCGTGGCATCCGAAATCCCCGGTGTAGTGCCGATCGACCTCTACGGCGCCGTCATGCGGCGGGCCGAGCAGATGACGATTGGGTTCAGTCGGAGTAGTCTCCCGCTTGGATCCCCCGAGGGTGAGCGGGGCGGGTTGGAGGTTTTGGTACCGGATGGGCTGCATTTAGGGGGCGAAGGGTATAGAGTGCTTTTTGAGCTGGTGAAGCCTCATATTGGGCCGTTTGATGAGTCGAGAGAGGATTACCGGCATCCGGATTGGAAAATCCTGAATCCTGGCAGTCTTGGTTGATGTGGCAGAGGAACGCAATGGTACTTGAGATGGCTGTTTGTACGGACTTGTTCCAGAGGATTTAGACATTAAGATGTTATCATTAGACTAGAACAAACTCGGCTTCGAAGTACTCATGCACCACACCCAGCGACCTCTCGCGAGCCATCCGAATATAAGATCGCCTCCAGTCACTAATGCCTGGTTTTTGGTCCCTGCTCAGAGAACATACCGGAACATGGGCTACACAAAGTTAGCAAATCACTCAAAGATCGACTCCAAACAACAGGCAGACTCACATTAGCCTTATCCGTCACATCTTCGAACCCAAGCACCTCGCCCTCCCTCTGCATCTCCTTGACCTCCTCCTCCGTCTTACCCTCCAGCATCCGATCGCGCTTCTTATTCTCTAGCACGTAGATGAAACGCAGGATCTGGTTCAAGACCAGGTTGAGAATAAAACCGCACAGCATGGCCACGATGCCGCTGTGGTACGCGGGCGCCTCGGTGCTCTTGAAGAACTGCGGGCCGGCAATCTGCCCGACGCAGTAGCACACGAAGACCCAGCCCGAGGCGACGGACCGCTTCGTGCTGCCGGCGATGTTGGTCGAGAGCAGGCCGAGGATAACCATGAAGCCGACGGGGTAGGAACCCAGCAGCCAAACGCCGACGAGGCGGCCCCATTTGTTGTCTGCGTGGAGTTGGTTGATGAGGCAGGTTCCGATGATCTAGTTCCTGATGTCAGTGGGATAGCCATCCATCCTGCCAGACTCAACCACAAACGTACCGGTGGAATCATGGCAACTGTGCCGACGTGCAGCCTAGAACTCTTGATTTTACTGCTCAAAAACCCAGCCCCTAGCTGCGTAACAACCTGCACAGTAGAAAGCGGCAGATTCATAAGCGTCGTGTTGAGAGGACTGAACCCAAGCCCCTGAATAATCAACGACCCAAACGCCAACCCGCCCGACGCGATCGCGTTCACAAACGAAATCAGCCCCAAGATAATGACCGCCGGGTCCTTCGCCGCTTCAATCACCTGCGCCTTGACAAACGTCCTGCTCCGTCCCGTACCAGTCTGGTTCTCCGCCACGCGCTGCACGGCTACGACCTTCTCCCTCTCCGTCAACCACGTCACCTTTGCGGGCCCATCCGGCACGAAAATCGTAAACACGACGCCCCAGACGACGGTCAGGGCGCCCAGGATCAGGAAAATGTACTTCCACGGTGACAACGAGCCCGTGATGTGCCCGATGCCGTACGCGAGCAACGTGCCCACAAAGCTCCCGACGCCCAGGAACGAAACCCATAGCGCCGAGCGGCCAGCTTGCTCCTGTCTCGTCCACCACATGCCCGTTACGGCCACGAAGCCGGGCGAGATGGTCGCCTCCGTGACGCCCAGCAGGAACCGAACCGACGCCAGCCCCGCAAAGGAACTACACGCCGCGGTAGTCATGAGAATCATGCCCCAGAGCACGATATTCACGCCCAAGAACTTGGCCACAGGAAAACGCTGGAGGACGGCGACGCCGGGGTACTCCGCGACGAGGTATCCAAAGTAGAAGATGGAGCTGGCCCAGCTGTACTGCTGCCCGACGAGCTTGTTGTCCTTGATGATGCCATAGACGGAGCTGTAACCCAAAGAAGTCTTGTCGATGAATTGCAGGGCGTAGGTGATACAGAGGAAGGGGAGAATACGCCTGTCGAGTTTGGCGAGGATGGAACGGGACTCAGCGGCGTCGAGGGGCGCGGAGTCGAGGGCTGAGGCGGCGAGGGCGCCGGTTTCGTCGGTGATGTGGTGCTTTGAGGGGATGGCGTCTTCATCTAGGGGGCCGGTGGTGGCGGGGAGAATGTCCGTGGGGACCCGCTTCTCCGGGTCGGAGCCCGGGGTTTCGGTGGGTGTCATTACAGAGTAAAGGGGGGTTTGTCAGAAAACTGGAGTGACACTCGTGGGTTTACCGAGTCCCAGGTTCTTGGGTCGTCTTAATTTACTGGCACGAGGATCCGGAAAAGAAAGTTTTCTCTTCCTTTTTGAGGTTCTTGGGAGCCCTCGACTTCTTTTATCAATGGAACGTTGAACGAACGCCGCGGGCTGGAGTCATTGGAGCGTGTGGGTCTTGTTCATCGGAATAGATCCGACCATCGGCAATTTCACGTTTGTTCCCCCAATGGTCTTATCTCGCTCGGGTGATGTCTTCCACTTAACAGCCCCTCTCCCTCCCTCTCTTAGTACCATGCCAGCGGCAGAATGGTTGCAGAACGGCTCCTGTATCTGGTAACATGGATGAGGGTTCGTCGGACTCTGATGGCCCTTTGCAGCCTAAGAGTCAATGTGAATTCTTTCGAGTGGAACATTGGTTTGCCAGCTTGCTGAGTAACACTCACTTATTAACATGTCACCTACGACATGAGCCTTATAAGCTGCGAGATGCTCGTCTTTTCCACCGTCCATTTCATCCGTGTCTTAGTTGTGGTCAAAATGTTTTCTCCCCTCGGAAAACTCGAACCCCTCGATACGAAGTATCCAAGCGCAACGGGCGTACACTACGGGACCCAATACAGCCGATCACACCGAGTCGATAAGAACAAGGGTCCGGACGACGGGTAGCTATCTCCTGCGGGGAACAGCCGGTCTTCCCCCTCCACTTCCAGACTCCAAGCAGTCGCCGCCTTTACCTGGCGCACCACACCAGTTTGCACAACGATGCACAATCCCTCCCCAATGACCAAATGAGGAAGCTCCCAAAGGACCAACACCGGTGAGCCATGAGCGTTAGACGGCCAAGCGCCTTGGCAAGACGGTTGGTCTTGTCAGCCTCATCTCAAGAAGACCGCGTGTCTTCATCATCGTCCTCATCCATCTCCATTCACCTTTGCTGATCCGCGAGCGCATCGCTCGTCTCCTCAATATCATAAATAAAGGTGGGTGATCATAGGCATGGCCCCCAGCAGGTTGATCTTTGAGTGTATCTGACCACCTCCATCAGACCCCAACCACCACAACCAAAAAAAATGGCCAAGCAAAAATCAACACCAGTCGCCTCGCCCGCCGCGGGAGCGCAGGTAGATGAGGCATCGCAAACCTCGCAAACCCCGCAGCAGGCGCAGGTCGTGGCCACATCGCCAGCGGAGAGGATACTAGCGCTTCTCATGCCCCCTCCCTGGGCGCGCCGCCTCATCTTTGTCGCCCTCATCTTCTACATCACCCCGTTCCTGCTCACGCACTGGATCGAGACGTCGGCCAAGTTGATTAGGATGATACGCACGTTGACCGGGCAGAGATGATTGTTCAATCCGTAGGAGAGAGGCGAACTTAGGTTGCTGGGGTTTATGGAAGCAGGTTGAAGAGCGCTGCGGCTGGCAAGATACTGCGCACTCAGTCCACTTGAAAGGAGAGCTCGAGACTTTAGGGCGTTGAGCTGGATATACTGGAACTGTCGATGCTTAATACAAGCAGAGTTGTTTAATTATGAGCTTGTGAGAAGAGCGTCACGTCCAAAGTCTTAAGAGAGCCACATAACCATGGCGCCGCCGGGCCGTCGAAAGCACGCAATTAAGAAGAGCTTACCAAACATATTGAAACCAGCAAAACATTCATCATTGGACCAGGCTGTATAGATGTTGCAATAGCTTCGATACACGAGCATAACCATTCTCATCATCTCCTCTGCCTGTTCTGGGGAACCATAAACATGCGCTGATCTATGCACCACCAGCTTCAATCCAAGCATAACGCAGCGAATACGCTAGCCGAAAAAAGCAACTTGCATCGCATGGCACCCGCGGCCTCGGTACAGATAACATTAATCGATACCCGGCCGGTGGTCGGAGACACGCCGCCGCTCGGAACCGCTTCCTCAGACGCAACCCTCCTCTCGACAGCACTCATTCACTCACTCACTCACACACCTCACTCTCATCGGGAACAGCGCATGCTCAACCCAACGAAGCCAGCTTTCACGATACCAAAAGCCTCTTTACAGAACTCTATACTCATCATAAGTTCCACTCACATCAAGCTCTCTCAAAATGGATACATCAGAAGACGACTTCGTCCTCGTCTCCCACGCAGACACCCACCCCACATGCACATCAACCTCACCTTGCTCATTAGTCTCAACCTCATCCACCTCAACCTCATTCTCCCCATCATCCTCATCACCACCACCGCCTTTCCTCGACGAGATCTCCTCCATCGTAACAGACCTCGCCGACACACTATGGCCCGTCAACAAAACCATTCACGATAACCCGGAACTCGGCTACCGCGAGTTCATCGCCCACGATACCCTGGTAGCCTTCATGCGCACCCAGCCCGGATGGAAAGTCACACCCTCAGCTTATGGGATGAAAACCGCCTGGGTCGCCGTCTGGGAAAGCGGGAAGAAGGGACCGGTTGTGTCGTTTAATGCTGAGATGGGTGAGACACCCCCCCCCCCCCCTTCCCCCGTTCTTGTCCGTCCCAGCTAACAATCATCACAGACTGCCTCCCAGGAATAGGCCACGCCTGCGGCCACAACCTAATAGCAACAGCCTCCCTAACAGCAGCCCTCGCAACCTCAACCCTCCTCGCCCGCCACGCCCTCCCCGGCAAACTCATCCTCTACGGCACCCCCGCAGAAGAAGGCGGCGGCGGCAAAATCGCCCTCCTCAAAGCCGGCGCCTACAACCCCTCAACCTGCCCGGGCTCCCCAAGCCGCGCACCAGACATCAACCTCATCTCCCACCCGGGCATCGTCTCCTCCACAGCCCTCATGCGCACCTCAGCCTACACCTCCCTCAAGCTAGAATATTTCGGCCGCGAAGCCCACGCGGCAGCGAACCCCTGGCTCGGCATCAACGCGCTCGACGCACTTGTCGTGGCGTATACTTCGATTTCTGTGCTGAGGCAGCAGACGCGGCCGGGGGACGTGATCCAGTGTAATATTTCTGACGGCGGCGCGCGGCCGAATATCATCCACGCGTACGCGGCGGCGAATTTCGTGGTAAGGTCGGATACCCAGCCGCGGCTCTCTGAGCTC